CTTAAAAATTCTCAAACAATAGGGAGAAGAGGGTCTATCGCTTGTTGTTACCGCCTCTCAGAGCCAGGATCTGGACCATGCGGACAAATATGTTGATGAAGTCGAGCTCAAGGCTGACACTCTCGTTAACGACGTCTCTCCGAACAACTCCTCGCTCAGCCAAACGAGCGTGGTAAAGAATTTTCTGGATATCGTAGAGGGTGAATCCACCAAAGACAGCAAGGCCTCCGTATAGCCAAACTCGCTCAGACCACATGAGAGTTCTTGTTGCAGTAGCTGGTAGAACCAGAGGAGCAAATCCGGAGAGAGCGACAATGGCAACACCAGCAAGGAGTGGACCACCGAGGTAGAGGTATTTCTCCTGTTTGGCAGTAGCACCGACAAAGGCAATCGAGCCCATCATACCGACTGTGTAAAGACCAGCACGTCCAAGAATGGCTGGGGACATGAAGAATAGAGGAGCGAGAACGGCAGCTTGGGCAAGGTTAAATCCAGTCCAGAGTGCATACTTTTGAATGTAGCTATGGAAAATGTTAGTAGTGCTAAATATACGATACAGAGTACGGAAAGTTGTCCCACTTACTTATCCGGCGACGTGTAAAATGTTCCATACATAGTTCCAATACTGGCTACCAAGCTGGCACCAACAACAACCCATGGGTTGGTTGCCATAAGCCGATAAGACCATCCGCTGGTGTGAAGAGCACGGGCAGCAACACCGATAATTCCAATGCCCAGGCCAGTGTGCATGAAGGTCTCATTCAAGAAACTTCGCTCATAGGGGCGCATGCCGCCATCTTCTCTTGTTTCCCGGTTGAAAATGAAGTTTGTTGCCACAATGGTTCCTCCAACAATCGCGGCACCGTATATCAATTTCTGGGTCATATTGCTGGTATCTCCGGCCGCAGGCTGATATGCCTTCTGCATGTAGGTCCGTCGGAAAGCATCCTTGAATGACTGGCGAGCTTTACTGAGCACTGAGGGGGAAGGGATTTGAGACGATGCACGGCTAGCTGATGATGATGGCTTGATAGGGCCGTTGTGGATGAACCGGATGGTCGTTGATACTGTCGATGGCTTGGGGGCCTGTTTAAGAACAGCCGATACGGCAAACGGGCGGCGAAGGATGAGCGCCATGATAGATGTGAGCGGTGAGTGTTATTCGAATGTCAAAGTAATGCAAGATGATGGTAATAGGCCTTGCGACGGGCGTTTATATACCGCGAGAGAGTTCTTCTGTATCCTTCTTCCGTCCGTCGAATGAAGATTCGAGAAAAGGGCCAGCTTCGTTGACTTAGTCATCAATAATATCATGTGACTATTATGATGACCTCATCACATCGCTCGGCTTTCGGAGTTTAGAAGAGTGAAAAAAGCGAAGACATCGAGGGGAAACGGAGTTTGGAAGACTATCCTCGCGACACATAGTTGACTCAGCGGATTGGACTTGGCTGTAGTCTCTTTGCGCCTTGGGTCTTTTTGGTGACAATGTCGCTTCTTAAGAGTCTCCAAATTGCGCATCTTCCGCCATCATTAGTAGTCCATATCGCCCTCTATCGCGATGTGAAGAACTCGTCGTTTTTAAGAGAGCAGCTTATTTCTGCCAACTCAGCCTATGAGTACGTTTTTATTGATGCTAGTATGGTATGGTGTTGAAACTTCCTGTTGTTTGAGTGCCCGCGCCCATATACTGTGACTCAAATCGATGTTGACTCTTTCCATCTGTACACCAAAGTAGATCCTTTCGACTACCCACGTCCTTTCGGCTGTGTTTAGGGCGGTAAATGATTACGAAAATAAGCGGTTAAAGTCGAGAAATGTACATTCGGAGATAGTGTTCGCTCTGAGCCCGAATAATAATGTTAGTGTTGCCAGTTGTTTGATGTCACAAGACCAAAAGTGAGAAGTACGCTGAATTAACCGATCTCGTTTGAACATAGATAGCCGATGCCTTTCGTCGATTCGGAATAGCAGATTCAACTACTGATCTCCTTGTTGTGAAAGTTAGCACGAGCCCGGAGATTACACATGAGACCGTATCAAAGCATCTAGGAGAGGCTGTCGAAGGCACTCAAGTGACATTTGATGATACTACTCTCAGTCAGATTACAGATATATCGAAGATTCAAAAGGTGTATAAGTTGTCAAACTTGGCGGGTCATAACCCTTCTAAGAAACCAATGGATCCCGCTCAAGGCCACAGTGTAGAAGGGGTTGAGGAGACTTTCAGGAGACGGATCGAGACCTCTGTACTCGGAGCTATTGCTTTAAGGGGCTCTTGAACCGTTTCTTTTTCACAAAATAGGAAACCTGCCCTTTCGACCGTTGCCCCTATAGTTAAGGGAATTAGAAGAAAATGCTTAGGCTAGCACTTGAAGACAATACTAGCGATGGTGTATTTATATCTGCAGGAGGACAAATGCCTAGGTACAAAATAACGGGGATAAAGAAATCTTTTGCTCTCGAAATGTAAGCCTTATCCAGTACGTAACAGCATAGCATATCAGATATTTTATTATAGGTCTTCATGAAGTCTTCAAAAGGATGGATGTCGTCGAGATAGACTTCAGCCTCCCGTTGCCCCGACTACCGAAGCGTGTCAACGCCAAGGCCTCCAAGCAGCAAAACGCCGAGTCCAGGCATCAAAATCAACTCGAGACAGCGAATACTGGCTACCATAGCGAGGAAAGCTCTTAAAAGTTCTTTATACTGTACACACGCCTCCAGATGATAGGTAGAGCTTTTGACGCAATCAATGTTGTCCTGCCGTCGCAGGTTAAACCAGCGAGCGCAACCAGCCTCTCCTACTGAGACACTGCTTGAGTTCTCCTCGAAATCAACATCTAGCCTCACTTGTGGCCCAAAATCTGACCCCGAAAGTCACGGTAATGTCAGTACTGAACTACAGTCAAACAGAAGTGCCCGATATACCAGGATTGTTTTGGGAGGGAAAGCAAATGCAGAGAACCTACCGGTGCCTAAAACGAAGAGGCGAAAACCGGGAGACGAAAGTTACAAATTAGTTGAAGGTATGGAAGAATTGGCAGGCTGCTCTCGACCTTGTCCTCAGTCGGTGGAAAATGGATCTACCGCGCAGAAAACGAGATCGAAAAAACCTAGAAAACAGACTCTAAAAGGCCAGGGTTCAGAGGAAACGACCAATCCAAGGCTGAAAGGGAAGATCATAAAGCCATCCACTACCTCCAAAATATTGACAAGTAAGAGAAGCATTATGCATCCTGCTGATCTACAGCAGAAGGAGGCTGGAAGTCCTGGTTGGGAGTCATGTGGATTACGCCTTGAGGAAGCTACTATAAGAAGAGACTTTTGGACACCCATAAAGAACACAACTCCGGCCCATATTGACCTTACAGGATCTCCCGTCTTCACGCAAACAGGGGAAACTCAGGATAAAGGCAATGACTTCAGGTCATTGATGTCCGGGTTCAGTTTCTCAAGAGAAACCTCTCGTGAAATTGGCTCTGATGGTCAATATCCTGCTGAAGGGCCAACAACAAAACAGCTCTTAGAGGTACGATAGTTCTACTAATAAGAATTTTGTGTTCTATTATTGACTACGAATCTAGTTCATACCACAAAGCTTGCCTTCAGGCAAAAATTTGGAAGCTGAGGCTCTCGATACAGCTGCGTCTAGTACCTCGGAAGGAAATAGCCGGTTTAAACCAGCTGGAAAACCCAAACGACCCGCCAAATCAAAGATCACTACGATCACTTCGCTAACTACAGGGCGGTACGAGTCACCGTTTACATCAGAAGGCGGTGACTATATTTCGTCAGCCGATAAAGACGTAGAGTCCATCCAACCCGCCAGAAAACCTACTTCGAAGCGTAAGGCTACAAAGGCAAAATCTGGAACAAAGATTTCGAAGGACGAATGCCAAGCTCGATTTAGACCTGCTCCTACTGTCGAAGCCCTACAGACTATTGAAAACCAAACCTTGCTATTCGGGACTTCCAGTCAGCTAGAGAGAGATTCCAGTCCTAGTGTCTATGGGATAGAGTCTGGCCTAGAACACAGTCAAGGTCAGGGTGAATCAGCAAGGGTAAGGTCTAGAGAGCTCTCCTCCGGCCTTGGGGTTTCGAGGTTTTCCAAATCTAAGAACTTATGGGCGGCAAGTTCTCGTGACCTAGATGGTTATCTCTTGAACGTTGAAATGGTTGATTTGGTCGAACCAGCAGCTCCAGCATATCAACCTCAGGACGAGCAACAGTCTACCAACAAGTTTTCTCAAGTTGGGATACATACAGAAATTCTACCACCGATTGAACATGAAAGCTCCGAGAAGACTGAACCATCCATTCACACTGTTGTTAATATTGACACTTCCGATACTATCAAGAGTCCCCATGAAATTTCAACCACCCATGACAATGAAAATGGGGTTGCAAGCATACCGGATTTTAACCGACTTTCAACCGACGCCCTCACAGCCAAGGTGGCGTCTTTTGGTTTTAGGCCGATTAAAAGCCGTGAGAAAATGATAGTTCTTTTGGGGAAATGTTGGGAAAGTAAAAGGAAAGCTGCTGGTAGACCAGAAATTGGACCATCTGAACGAGATGAACCACAAGGAACTTCTCAAGGACGACCCTTGAACAATACTACAAATCCGATAGAAGCTGGCCCTATACCTAGCGTTATCCCCTCAATACGGACGACCACTCCCGATGGAATAGTCGACTCCTCGCGAACAATTGAGACCATATCTCACAACCTGAAATTGCCTCCAAAGGCTAAGGGAAACACACTCCGTTCCAAGGGCACCGAACGTGATACTCAACCTAATACAATAGAAATAGACGATTCTACCGATGAAGGCTTACCAGAGTCATCTAAACAGCTGACCAGCTCTGGGAATTCCCATCTTCCTCCTCGGGTATCATCATGCGATAAGCCCAGTGGCCTTGTGCCAGGCCCGGGAGCATTTTCAATCCGAACTAAAGGAGTTAGTACCAAGGAAAACGAACCAGCAGAACTCCCAAATATATTTCTACAAATTACAAATGCTGTCAAAGCACAGCCTCGTATACGCAGCATCAAGGGTATCAAGCAACCCACATGGCATGAGAAAATTGTCATGTATGATCCTATTTGGCTTGATGATTTTACGTTATGGCTGAATGTGGAAGGCTTTAAACGCATACACGAAGATCGAGAAGTTCACGCATCACTGGTAAGGGAATGGTGTGAAAGCAAAGGCATCTGCTGCTGTTTCAAGAATAAGAGATGATAGTATATAATTATACTTCTCAGATTTTGCTTCAAAGCTTTTGTTTAATGGGATTCTCCTGGAAATTAATTAGAATATCTATGGTGGTTATCTGGTATGGCGAACTACGCTTAGCTCTTTGGACGATCGTGGAAGGTGTACGAATAATAACGAAAAAGGCCAAACTTTACAATTAGACATAAACCCTTCAATAACATCGTACCAATGCAGCGCCTATGCCTGGTGAAAAGGGAAAGGAACAGCAGGTTTTGGAAACTAAAGTTGGTCCTCATCCGCTGGGCACTTAGCTTACTACTCTGGATTATAGGTATCACATGCCAGAGAAGTAGTTATAATTATCTGGCGGATCCTGAGACGGGTCATGGTCTCTTTTTGGTGCTCCAGTCTGCTGATGTGACTCCCCTTGCCCACGTACTTGACTCTGGCTATGACTTTGACGCGCTCCCTGTTGCTGCTGCTGCTGCTGCTGTTGAATACCCTGTCGATAGGAGCTTTGACTACTTTGCTGAACCGGTGATGGCACAGGGTTGTCTCGTCCAGAGAAAGGGTTTGAAGCCATCGATGTATTATATGCAGGATACTGGGAAGGGGGAATTACCACCCCAAACTGTGAGGGATCTTGCATTGAAGGTAGCATTGCCGTTGAACCTGATTTGAACGTGTCAGTCGCCTCTCTCTTTATCGTGTGAGGGGTCATTTAAGTCGTTTACATACGCCTGCCTGGTGGGTATAGTATTGGAAAGCCCTGTCCTGGCTGCTGCTGGGCCGTCTGGTGAATGGCTTGAGCCTGAGCCTGACTTTGTAGAGCATCATACGAAGGATATGGATGTGGTGTTTCCTGAATATAAGTATTAATAAAATAGCGAAAAAGGTGGTGATATGAAGTGCAACAGAAAAGTAGCCACTCACCATCGACATTCCAGGCGCCTGAGCACCACCGCTTCCAAGGTGGCTGACCACATTACTGATATAGTCTCTTAAGTTGGCATTTTCTGTTCGTAATAATTCATTTTCAGTAGCCAGCCTTCCGTTTTCCGCTCGTAGGCGTTCTAGCTCTCCACGAGTATACGACACCCGCGTTATTGGGTCAGTCTGGGTGCATGGCAAGTTGCCGGCAACACAGTTGGCACAACCAGTCGAATTTGAATCGCACTTCATTTTTCGCCCCTGTAGTGAGTAATGTTTTAGTAAAGCTCTAAAATGGATACGTGTTGTGTATTTAGATAAGCAATCTGAGGAAATTTAAGGAGTTATGCTTCACGGGATTAGGGGGATTTCAGTAGTTTGAAATATAATAAGGCGATTTGGAAAGCAAAGGATGTGGATGGGCTGTAAGAACGGAGTAGGTGTAATAAAGGTTTAAAACGCCAATGGAGTGATATCGAAAGTAGGAGTGAATATAGCCATTTGGTATAAGCGTGGTCTGCCAAATCCAAAAATTCGGAGCTGATTTCCCCTTTGATAGCTTTGTTTTTGTTGAACAAAGTATACAATGGAATTGGGAAAACACATTACACAAAGCAATTTGGCATTCCCGATGTATTCAAGGGGAAAAAAGTATGGTTGGCCACTCAGAACGGGACCAGAAAAAGCAGTATTGGCGATTGAGGCTGTTAAGAGAAAATGGGAAAGCCTGACAGGACCGGAATGTAAAGTAAACTCTGGTAAACTCACCTTGCAGCGATCGCAGGCCTGGCCGGTACGATTGGTAGAAGACATCTGACCCTGAACCAACTCAGAATAATTTGGTTCAGGGCTATTCTTGTCTCTTCTTGGCTTCTTTGGACGACGAGCAGGAGCTGTGGCTTCTGTTGTAGATACTTGTTCTGCCGCTGGATTCTGTGTCGTATCTTCTCCGGGATCTTCAGTAGTCTCTGGATCTTGTTGCTGGGAGTTTCCTTGATTATTGGCGCCCTCGTTTTGGGCTTGGTTATTATCCCAGGTATCTTCCTGATTGTCATCATTGGAGGGCCGCTTCAGTGATGAAGACATGGCTACTTTATATAAGTAGATCGATATATTGCGACTGTAAGATGTTGCTAGAATGCTGTCGTAGCTTGATTCAACCCAAAGGATAGAGTGTAAAGCAGATTGCTATAGAGTATTTCTTGAATATTCTGTGATTTTGAATATGGCAATAGAAGAATCAAAAGATCAAGATTGGTATCTATTATAGTGTATACCCTGATATATGTTCAATCTAGAGAGAAGAACAGCAATAAAAATGTGCAGAAACACAGTATATGTACTGAAGAGACTTTCTTCATCTCTTAAACTGTGTCTTTAGGCTATTGTGCAAGGATAAAAAGAGCGTTCTTCTTCGGCTATTTCCATCTTGTACACAAATAGTGCATTCCTTAGAGGGCTTAATGACGGAAATCTCCATGATGCATAATGACAGTGTAAACCCATGGGACCCAGAACCCTTTCATAAAAAGAGTCTTCGAAAAGCGGCTTTTTGTACCCGTTGACTTGAAGGTATCCCATTCAATCGGCCCATCCGCAGCTTGTTCGTTCGAGAACTGCTCGAAAACAAGGCGACGATAGCAAATATGTTCATTTAAGATATCCCCTGAGTTCAAAACTTGTTCTAAAAGGTAGAGCCCTTGAAAAAAAAAAAGTTCGAGTTGCTTTGATTTCAACACGTAGCAATCAAAGCAAGAACTTGATCGATTCACCCCACATAATCGGTAGAATAAACGGGTATTTTGTTTCAACTGAAAGCTCCCTACAATGAATATATTGTCAAGAAGTTCTAGCGATTTCTCTTTTGCAGTTCTTGCAAGAGAGTGGACAAATCTTTGAATGGAGGTATACCTGATCAAGGCTTTGTTTTCGCTTCGGGTTGTCTGCTCTAATATTTTGATAAAGGAGGTAAGCATATAATGGGGTAAATGTCAGGTAAACCATATCTGAGGAGTGCCCCCAGGAAGCATAAGAGAAGAGATACATGGGTATTGTGGTATTGGGTGTTGAGGGGAGTGATGACAATGTAGATGGGTCGAGTCGGGCGGCGCGGCTGCAAGAACGACAGGACACGACCGAGGCCCACGACAAACAGACGAGCACTGACAAAGAAATGAACAACTTGGCTTGTCTGGGCTTTTCAAGCTTAGTCTCATGTTGGACTCCTCGTTTTTGCTGATATATTCTTTCATCATGTTCAGTGTTATTTGAGCCGTGTGGCCTTGGGGATCAGTGGGTCTGCCTGTTTCTGAGGAAGTGGTAGTTACCCGTGCATAAAAATTAATGCTTTTGTGACAACCTCTTCAACAGCGGAATGTTCAAAAACAGATACAAATAACCTGTTCGGACTAATCATGGGGAGCTGGATATGAGAATGAGCTTATGCAGTCATAGAAATTTAGCTTGTTAGCCTTTGAGAAGCAAATCGGATGAAGTTGGACGTTGAGAAAAGCCACAAGAGCCTGCTTATGTAACTAAGAGACAGGGTGCCTCGGAATATAGGAAAATAGGAGGTTTGGAAGTAACGATTTTTTAACCATGACATTTCTAAGTACGCTCGAAGGTTTCAATATGCAATAATCCGTATTCTCGTTATGAAAGCAATATGGATATCGAGACTTTACTCGAGTAGATATCGTGACCTTCTCATTTTTCTAGACCTGCTATCTGCTCTTATACCCTGCTGTCCACTCCCTATCCAATGCATCACTTTAAAAGTGGTATTATATATCACATCTGCACATCTGGTTTCATCTATCTTAACGCCAGCCAAGCCCAGAAATAGCCTCGGTCTCCTTTGATGTTCGGGTAAGAGAATAGTAGGCGAGGTGAAATAAACAAAATATAGAATACGCGAGAAGGGAACTGAAGGAAGGAAAGAAAATAGTTTGAATATGCACGTTAAGATGGATTTTTGTCAAGATAGAGTATTTTATCATATCGTTTCGGGGTCGTTATATCATGTGTTAATGCGAAGTGTTAAAGAGAGAGAGAGAGGGAGAAAGAGATCAAAAAGGGCAATTCGAACGGGTGTAGATCGGTATTTGTGCAATGGGTAAATAGTCATAATCCAGGAAGGCATGGTAACATGGTACTCAGTACAATTGGGGGTATTCAAGAGAAGCAGGGAGCAAAAAGGGGATAACTATGAATGGGCTATGTGATCCAAGAATGTTTTCTAGTTCCCAACCAACAAAGGTATACAAAAAGAACGGAGAGTGCGAGGCGAAATGGGGTGAAATCGTAAAGGTAGGTCACGAATGGAGTGTACACCGTACAGCAGAGTACAATATCCAAGATAGATGGTGGCCAGAAGCAAGGGCATGCTGGCATGATGTCATCGGGACCTCTTGCCATTATGTGCAACGGTGATGAATTCAATTCTGTCCCGGTATCGATGCTGGAAGCCATATTCCAGCCAGGGAGAAAGATTTTTGCACTGACTGACATCCAGTAGGCTGAGTATTGAGCATCCGTCAGCAACAGCCTCAACACCGGTACCAGTTACGCGGACACAGCCGCGCACAGAAAGTTCGCGGAGGTTAAGTAAATGGAGGCCAATGGAGCGTAAGGAGGGGTCAGAGACTGCGGAGCCACAGAAGGAAAGGTTCAGATGCGTTAGCTGAGGGCAGCCAAGCGCCAGGACTTCTGTGGCAGTGTCCGAGAGAGCACAGCAGAAAGACTAAGGCATTATTAGAATATTACAAGTAGCATGGGGAGTTTGCTATCCGTAGGTTCGGACTTACTAGGTCGAGCTCTTGAAGGCACTTTGCGCTATTGGTCAAGTAGACAATTGCGTTGTCAGTGAGGTAAGTACAATCTGCAAGACAGAGCTTCCTCAGCCTGAGAAACTGCGCATTCCCCCAGTATTGGAATCCTTGGTCAGTTATGGTTGTACAACGTGTAAGGTCAACTTCTTCAAGCCGGTTTGCAGCATGAGAGGCAATGTGATGCATTGAACGGTCCGTGACATGCTTGCAGTATGACAAGGTAATCTTCTTTAGGTACGGACAGCCATATACTGTTCCCGCAGCCGGTTGATTTGGCTGTTGTACTGCGCCCACTTTCGGTATGTATTTCGAATTCTGCAAAGCTCTCCCACCGTTGACGTGGTTCTGGTGCTGTTGCTGAGCTGGTACCACCCACCCAACGATCCTTGCCAATAGCGTGTCGCTCACCTTCCGGCAATTACTAAGGTCGATCTCCTGAAGGGACTTTGCATGGTTTGTCATATCCAGTATTGTTGGCGCTGTAACGTCCCAGACACTTTTCATTTTGAGCACACGTAAGTTGGCACCGCAAGTGTTAGCTAGAGCAGAAAACCCTTCATCGGTGACATGAAAACAGTTGTTAGCATCTATAACACGCGGTCTGTCCCCAACAAAGGGACAGATAATCCCGGTTATAATCTCATCGGTAATTTTGCGGTTGTACCGGCTTAGATCGAGGAAGTGCAAGAGACGAGGTGATTTGGTGACAATCTCACACCACTGGCGAGAAACCCCACGGAGACGTAATAGAACATGTAGCTCAAGATACTGGAAGATGGATACAAGAACATCATTGGACAGTACTCCACGATGACGGATACTGTTTCGATGTTTTGACGGTTTGGTTTGAAAAAAGGCTGAGTTTCTGAAGAGTGCCGACTGAGCATGTTTATTAGGTGAGGGTGTTCGTGAGCGGGAGTTTACGTTCGTTGCCTGGGATTGCGATTGCTGATCTGGAGCAGTATCTTCAGGTATAATAGGAGCAAGGGAGCCTCGCCGGGACCGGGATCGTACGTTATCCAACCCAACACTCAAAAATGGATCTGGGTCGGAAGGTTTCACAACAGATTCGTCTTCCATCCTGTTAGGTTTGTGAAGAGATTCAAGTTCCGTTTCGGAGAAGGTAAGAAGAGGCATAGATTGTCTCCGGGCGGAGAAGAGTGCCTGGTTTCCTGGGGTAAAAAGCTGGTCCGCGCTGGGTGCATCTTCCATCACTACATCACCGTCACTAGCACCATCAAGCCTTGTTCGTGCCGTTCGTTCGACCTGGTCTCTGATATCTGCAGGACATCGAGCCCAAAACTCCGAGAGAACTTCACCGCTCAGCATCAAGCATTCGACGGCAGATACCGAGCGGACTGTAGCAGTTCTTCTCGGTGCGAGTGACAGGCTAACGACTTCACCAAAGTATTGTCCTTGCTTTAGCCGTGCTTTTACCTGCACATTTCGAGAGTCCTCCGCATCAGCAACACGGCGGGGGCTGCCGGGGTCACATCGTTCGTTCAGGACCTCGACTTCACCGCGTACGATGAAGAAAACTTCCCTTCCCTGTGAGTTTTGTCGAATGATGTCGGTGAATGGTGGATAAGTCCGTGGTTGTGCATTTAATCCCAGGAAATGAAGGATATCAGCCGGTAGATTAGCAAAAAGGGGCAGTTCTCTGAGCAACATTCTCACGCTGACGAGCCCGTTGGCCAGAGCACTGGACGTGGGGACATCCTGACAGCTGGGGCTGGGCGATTTGCGCTTCTTAGTGAAGTTGTTGGCATCTCGATGGTCGTCATTATTAAAATCCAGGCCGTCCGCAATGGTATCTCGTACTCGCTTTGTCACACGTTTCTGCCCACCAGGAGCGGTCATTTCTACAACCGCAGGCGGTGATGGTGACTCTTTTTGTTTTTTACGCTCAAGGATCTGAAGACGCTCTTCTGCTTCATCCCTGATGGCCCGCTCCACCTCTGGGAATCTGGGAAGAATGTTTCTAAAGTCCTCCTTGGTCAGGATGAGGAGTAAGCAGCGGGTTCTTGCAATGATAGTAGCAGTACGAGGGCGGTCCATGAGAACACCGATCTCTCCAAAAAATGCGCCTGGCTTCAGCTCTGCATATGTACTCTCTCCATCTCGAGACGTGACGGCGACGGCTCCACGTACAAGCCAGTACATGGCCTTTGCATCATCTCCTTCCGTCAGAATGTAGTCGTTTGCCGAGTTTATCTGAGGCCGCAGGTGGAGCCCGATCTCAGTCAGAAAGGACTCTGGGGTAGACTGGAATAGAGGAAAAGACCGTATCCGATCTATTATATCAAGCGGCATGCCACGTATCTGCGAGGCAGCCAGGGGCGACGGTCTAACTGGCCGAGATGGGTTCATCTCGGTGTTGAAGGTGCGAATTGGAGACATTGGGTCGGGAACAGCCGTTGCTGTCTTCGCCGACAACGGCGATGCGCTCCCACGGCCATGTCGTCTCATCTTGCGTGTTATCAAGATTTTTATGGAAACACAAAAGGAAGGTGGGAAGAAAAAAAAAAGAAAGAAAGAAAGAAAAGAAAAGAAAAGCAGTAACCCCGACGGTCTCCTCCCAGAACGGAATATGCAAACAGAGACGCGGTTATTATGACTATGTGCTTACAATCCGATAGCCGAGTGCGAACTGTGGGGACAGGGCCTGGAGGAGATTTTTATAATTCCCGTGTCCAACAACAATTCATGGCGGCCGGTCCAAGGTAGCAATGACAACAGAAGCTTGGATGTGAATACCGGACGTTGATCAATCATTGGCTGAGAGAAGCAGTCATAGCTGATGGGTTCATGGAAGGAGATCAAGGTCAGGCTGCTGCATTGATAATCAGTACGGTGTTATATAAGTGTATGTGGTTTTGGAGTTGGAAGGTTGCTGACCGCGCGAGAAGACAAGGCGGGAGAGAGCGAGCCGACCACCACAACTGATAGAGTTGCCGAGCAGCTCCCAGAGGCGCTGGAGGCGGTGCAAGGCTGTTCCCTGCCGTCTTTCAAAGCTGACCGATGCCACAGAGGGGGATTATCCAGCCTGCAGGCCCGAGACTTGGAGCTCCCTGGCGCAGGGCCGGATGGAGGAACAGCAACAAGCACGAGCGCGGCGAAAAAAAAGTGGCCAAGAATTGGCAGCCTGCGGAAGTGACGGTGACGGCTGCTGGGTACAGGGCCGGACAGGAAGGTCTCTGTCGCTGTCGAGATGGCAGGCGAGGCGAGGTCGCGGAGGAGCAGTCGAGCGAGGTCGAGGAAGACGTCGATGATGATGATGACGGAGGACGAGACGGCCAGCAGAAAAGCAACACTAGAAAGGCAAAACGCAGGGGCCAGAATGGGGCTTGGCGTCACTTTTTTCGCGGGGGAGTCACGTGGGGAAGCCGAAGCGACGAAAAAGGAAAAGAAAAAAAAAAAAAGATAAAAAAAGATAAAAAGACACGACAACGACAAACAGCGGGGAGGATAACCAGGGAGAGACAGACGAGAAGACTACGACCACGACTACGAGAGGCGGGAGCGAGACGGAGACGACGAGACGACGAGCAGGAGGAAGCTGAGGACGCAGAGTGTGTTTTCAGCCCCTGTTTCAACCCGCCTGAGCGTGCGTTCTTCAACCTGCGGCGGGTTTGTCATCGCCTTCCCTCGACCCGGCCACCCGCTTTTCTAGAAGCTTGCCAGTGCTGCTCCCTGCCTGATGCTGCTGGGCTCCCGGGCTCCTGGCCGGCTCGATGCAATTATTATTATTGGGATAATAATAATACTTAATAATACCTGCTCCGCCGTCTCGGATCCCTGCATGATAACTCGAGTGCTAAACAAACCCACCTGATGCGTTGGCGAACTCGCTCTCCCCAGCAGCCATTGGCCACAACAGCCCCGTGTCCAGTCAGAAGAGCCGTCTCCATCTCCACTGCATACAACAATTCGATTCGATCTCATAGCGTCTCGCATGGGGAGTCTTTATTTCTTTTTTTCCTTCCCTTTTTTCTTTTTCAAAACTCCCCTTCTGAAAGCTTATCTTCGATGATGGAGTGGAGGAGGGTTGTTCACGAAGCAGGCCAACAACCAAGAGCCAGGCGGCTGCTTCGTATGGTCGAAGGAGAAGAGCATAACCAAGGGAGGCACGCGAGCAAGTTACAGCGCCGCCTGCAAATATGCTTCTCGGTACTAGAACGCCGTTAGACGGAGAGCTTGCTCGCTAACTCACTAGCTTAACCGTGTTAGTCTAGGTCCTCGAATGTCGAATAATGAGAGCTTTGATGGGTGTCGTCAGGACAAACTGTGACAAGGGGGGCTCCCATTCCTGCTGCCAAATTTGAAGCATAACAGGTTTACACGTCAATGGGAGTGGACGGAGGCAAATCTTTCACCCAGGCACGCGCTGACTCTTGCCACCATTACCGTCATGGCCCACGGAGTCGTCTGGGTTGAGGATCTCACTTACATAACTCCGGCCCTTGCTGCCGAATGTCTGGGGAACTCTTGAGTGCATAAATGTAAGTAACGGCTTCGATGGCTATATCTAATGGGTATTAAGAACAAGCTAGTTTGGCAGCAGAATTAAGGAGAGCCACAGGATGCCTTTAGCAGAGAGGGGAAAAGGGGCGGAAAATGTAGACAAGCTGTCTGATAAGTGGGCATCTCGTCTGCTGTAAACACCCAGAAAGCTGAGGGCGTTAGTGGAGCGATACATCTTTCAGTACGATATAGTGGGACATTGAGATGCGTAGAGAACAAGCATCCCTTAACTAGTAGAATATTACCACTTGGTACGGAATACATGCTAAGAAGATGTAGAAGCATCGCTTTGCATCAGTTTGGGTATTCGGCCAGGTAGCTGTTTCTAGCAGAGCCGCAACAACGTCATTTTGGTGATGGTTAGTTGCTTGCAAGGCACAGTTATGATCATTATCAGTAAATATGCCATCCTGTGAGAAACGACCTAGGTAGACCCTATCCTACGAGGAAAAACCATATTTAACCTAAATGTATTCTCTAAACCCGAGCACTGCCAGATATCTAGTTCCAAATTAATTCCATAAGATAAATGGCTGAAGAAAATAGAAAAAAAAAAATAAAAATAAAAATAAAATAAACCAATTGAAAGTAACAAATTGTCGGCAGGAGATGGTGCACAAAAACTGTAAGAACCAAGCTATTCTGACAGTCTTTTTAAATCAGTATAGCTCATATGTTGTGTACACATTCACAGTGGTTACCGTAGCCACCTGCACTGGGCGGATCGAAAACTGTCCACTGGAGATAGCATCACGAATATCGCAGGGTAGAAGGGGAAATAGAATTCCCAACGAGCCGCATGGGCCTTCGGTGATAAGGTCATAGTCACTCAGATACTCAAGTCTGTACAGAGGTATGCCTGAAACCATATGGAGCTGGTAAAGGGTCGCATCGGATACCGGACCATACTCTGGCAGTAGCGGTGGGATTTTTGCACGCGGTGCCAAGGTGCAGCAGTCACGGCAACACATTGCCAAGTCAGTACGTTCCGATTCTCGTTGACGCCGGCGCCGTCTTCGGCGGGCGCGGCTGGATGATCTACGATCGTCTCTCCCGTCGTCGAAATGGACGCGTCGTCGGCTAGAGCGGCGGGCGGTTGGTAAACGGTCGTAGTCTTTGCCGCCACGAGAAGCTATACGGGTGTTCCCTTCGTCTCCGAAGAAAAGACTTCTACGTCTGGAGCCGCCAGCTGTTGGCGCACGGTCATAGTCTCTGCGGCTGTTGGAGCTGCCAGCTGCCAGTGCATTGTCGTAGTATTTCTGGCCACCTGTATAGGGTACCAAGGCAGTACTGGTGGGCAGTGCAAAGGGATCAGGGGCTCTAGAAGAGCTCCCAGGAATATCTAACGCCCTAGACGACGATCCATAGGCTTTGGATGTTCTAGATTTTGCAGAACCTGCGTACCCATCAGGTGGTCGTAGTGAGCCAGTTGCATAACGCTTCGAGTCGCGTTCTCCATACTCCGGTAGCTTCTGTGCCTTGCTTCCGTTATAAGCTAGGAAGTCCGGAACCGCTGATTTGCCGGAACGGCTAGAGTATGGTCCCTTCTTCGTAACCATGGTAAGAGGTCCAAGCAGAATTTTGCCTTGGAGACGGTAATCTTCAAATGCGATAGTGGAGAGTGTCTTGAAAATAGGAGAACATGGGCTACCGCTCAGGTATTTATGTACCCATTTCAGCAAGTGAAAATCGTATGACTGCCGAAGTTTCTATAACAAAAGTCACCTTTTCAACGGAGAAGTGTACCTTTGTCCATTCAATCCTCAACTCCATTCCATGGTATATGGATAGTAGAGAGTGTGAAAGATTCTTTCAAAGGGCCCATTGAATGGCACTGCCACTTCGTTATGGTGATCCTGGTTTGCCAAAGACATTGAAGATGAATTGAATATATTGCGGCCGTGATCCACGGAATGATGCAAACAGGTCCTGGAGTAGTCCATAAGCCAGACTCAGTTTTAGTCCAACTTTTGCTGTTCGAGCTGCCGTATAAACATCATGACGGGCTACATGAGCAATCACTGAATTAGCAGCTAGTCATACAGTATCATATAGTGAAAGTGAAAGTGAAAGGGAGTAAAAGAAAATAACAACATACCAAGTAAGCTGTAGACCCCAGAAAATGATAGCCCAGCGGTGACCGTGGATAAAAAGTCACGGTTCCCACGAGCATGATCAACAGTTTCTTCGAATATGCAAAAAGCCACAGCTCCTATTCCAACCTTCATGCCCAGCTTTGTGCCCTCCTTCAAACCCCCGATCATGGATGTGTAGTTTTTGCTCTTATGGTACTGGTACCATCCGGCTGGGTTGGTAGGAAAGCGATGGGCGTTCTCAGCACGAAATCGAAAGGCAGCCTTTGTACTTCCGTGAGAGGCTCCCAGAGCCATCCCTGAGGCGAACGCAGCCATTGCACTTAGCGGAAGACGGATGCCTACATCGGTTCCTAGACGCGGCGGGTGGTTGTTGTCGAAAACTGCCGATAGGGTCCCGTCGTCCTCCTGCGGCGGAACTTGCGTTTGCAGCGATCCCATGGCGTCAATTGCGTCTTCCCCTTTTTGCCCTACCTCACAGCCACTGTGTATGCTGGGACGTCGAAGCGTGAGGGTGTGTGTGTCGAGTTTGCGTTCTTCTCACGGCCAGGAAGGGGAGCTCGATGTTTTTTTATGCTCGACGAGAGAAAACTGCTAAGCTTGGCGGCGGAGGCAGCGACGCCAAGACTGGCAAAGCTGTTGTGCCCGCGAGAAACAATCGCTGGCAAACGGCCACATCCTTGAACAACACCCCGCCTGGGAGAGCATTAAACGTCATATTTGGCTACTTGGTTATTGGAGATCTTCTCATTTTTAACATGGTAAGCACGTATATAGGGAGGGGAGCAAAATGGCATCAAGCTAATACTTCTGTCCTGCAGGCGGAGCCAAGATGGACGCTCCGGTTTAAGAACCACAACGTCACCGTTCTACTGCTGGTGTCTCCTGTCGATGCGTTCGACACTATCAAAGCTGCTCTATTAAAGGCGCTTCAGACTCGCGGGATAAAAGAGATAAACGGGAAACCTGTACCAGATGACGCAGCAGATATCGAGCTGGGCGTCCCTCTTGACCGGAATAACCTAGAGAAGGGCTGGCAACCGCTGGCGATACCTGATGGCAAGGCAGATAAGGGGGCGGGGAAAGGGAAGAACAGTGTCTTCAACTCTAGCCCCCAAGGAGCCGATCTCAGAGATGCCCAGGCTATTGCATTCAGGTTTCGGAAAGCGTCAGAGAGGAGTGCAGTCAAGGACGGTGATCTCGAGATGGACCTGGATGACCCTGGCTGGGATGTTCTGATCCCTTCATATGATGATGAAGACGAAGACGAGTGATGATGGAATATGTCTGGTTTTCAGAGTCCATCGAATGTTCTAGCATGAGAATGTGATACTCAAGCGGATACATGGACATGGAGCAGAGTAAACATGACACAACTGGTCAGCCCTTTGCAGGGCCTCTTGCCTAGCCGCAACAAGTGCCATGCCTGGGAAACCAGAAAAACATGGACCAGAAACTGATAAATCGCTTTCAGGCTTCGGGAGCTTCTAGATCAACTTGCCATGACTTTTCGCGTAGGACTGTCTCGACGCCCGCTACCTAACACAGTAGATATCCCCTACGGAGACACAGCAACAACTATCCAGCACTACTACTGAGTATATCGCTTTTTATCGTCTTCCTTGTAGATCTGCTGGGCCCTTTCATGCCCAAGTGCTCCAGTCCAGCCCATGGGTCCTCCGAGGACCGTTACTATGGCAACCGGCGCCGGATAAACATGTTTTGTTGGCTGCATCAACATTGCCCTATCAGGTCGAGTTCGACAAACCTGCAGACACGACTGGGGGGAAAGCTAACAAGACGCAGCCTTCGAGTCTTCTCTATATTAAATAGCACATTTTCTACGTCTTCTCCAGCTATTCACAAAGGCTTTATTCTCTTACGTCTATATTGGCAGACACTCGAAGCGGTGCGCGAAATATATTTGTTTACTCCTTAATTAATCTGCGCCCATCAGCAGCAGTACCCTCCTCAGGCGATATCTCCCCAAGACACAATGGCGGCCTCGGGCGGCGCGTCTTCAATCCAAGTGACCGTTCGAGTGCGGCCGTTTACTATTCGAGAGGCCGCACAGGTATCAAAATGCGACGATGGCATGGTTTTCATGGGTGATGGGTCTCTAGCTGGCAATTCAGCCCCGAAGCTACAGCAAAAGGGGCTGCGATCTATTGTCAAAGTGGTAGACGATAAGTGCCTGTAAGCGAATATCTGGCTTACCTTTTCCCCTCGTAGCATATTTGTATGTTGCATAGCTAACACCCTTTTCCCTCCGTTACATAGAGTATTCGACCCCCCTGAAGATAACCCCTTACAACGGTTTTCCAGATCAGTCATTCCGAACAGGGCCAAACGCGGCAAGGATCAGACATTCATGTTTGACCGTGTCTTTGATGAGAATACCAGTCAGGGAGACGTGTATGAGGCTTCTACAAAGCATCTACTCGACAGTGTGCTCGAAGGATACAATGCTACAGTCTTTGCTTATGGAGCCACAGGGTGTGGGAAAACACATACGATTACAGGAACCCCACAGCAGCCCGGAATAATCTTCTTGACGATGCAAGAGCTGTTTGAGAAGATTGCAGAACGGTCGGAAGAGAAAGTCACCGAGCTGTCATTGAGCTATTTGGAGATATACAATGAAACGATTCGGGACCTGCTGCTTCCCGGCGGAAGTAAACAGGGACTTATGCTCCGAGAAGATGCCAACCAAAGTGTATCGGTATCTGGATTGTCGACTCACCGTCCTCAGAATGTACAGGAGGTGATGGATATGATTATGAGAGGGAACGAGTATCGAACAATGTCCCCTACCGAAGCAAATGAAACATCCTCTCGATCCCATGCAGTGCTCCAAATAAACGTGGCGCAGAAAGATCGTAATTCAGATCTCAATGAGCCTCATACAATGGCCACCCTGAGCATTATCGATTTGGCTGGAAGTGAGCGAGCAAGCGCTACTAAGAACCGCGGCGAAAGACTGGTGGAGGGCGCAAATATCAACAAATCTCTCCTCGCTCTGGGCAGCTGCATCAATGCCCTATGTGATCCCCGGAAGCGCAACCATGTTCCATACCGCAATTCGAAATTGACTAGATTGCTGAAGTTCTCTCTCGGGGGCAACTGTAAAACGGTCATGATCGTCTGTGTTAGCCCTTCGAGCCACCATTTCGATGAGACTCAGAACACACTGCGCTATGCCAACCGGGCCAAGAATATCCAAACGAAGGTCACCAGAAACGTTTACAATGTTAACCGACACATCAAGGACTTCCTTGTTAAGATCGATGAGCAAATGGCCCTTATCAATGAACTAAAACAACAGCAAAAGGACTACGAGTCCGTCGCCTTCGCTAAATTCAAGAAGCAGAACGAAAAGAAAGAATCCGTGCTACGTGAATCGTTTGCACGTCTTCGCAGTGCATACGAACATGCCTCCCCTGAGAGAAGGGAGAAAATTGATTGTATGGTGCGACTCAAACAAGTCAGTCGACGCATGTCAATGCTCTCCGCATGGATTGCTGCGTTTGACAATGTGTGCGCCGCTCGTGGGCAGGATGATACCCTGTCTAACCTCCAGGCAATTCGCAAGTCTGCTCAAGGAGTACTTTTTGAATTGGAAGGCAGTCGCCAGCATTACCATCAGAAAATTGGAAAATCTTCTTGGGAGCGAGCGTTGGATTCCGCCCTGGAAGTGGGTATAAAACAGCTCCGCGAGTTGGAAACGTGTGACCATACAGATATCGAAAACCTCAAACGGGAAGCTCAATTATTGAAATCTAATGCTCAATCTGAGGCTTTGAGTGCTGTGTCAGAACAGGACAAGACCAGTGAATTTGAGATTGCTCAACGGCTCCTTGAAGCGAATTTTGAAACCATATCAGCCATTGAACATATAATGCAGCTTTCGGAAGATGAGGCCATTGAAACGGGAAGGAAAATTCTTGGAAAACTTTTAGAATCTTGTTGTGCTAGCACATCTAACGTGGTTAAGCCAAACGGGAGCAGCCCTATTAGAGCAGAAGCATTTCCGCCTACTAAGGCTGGAACTCCGAAGAGACGAAAGAGAGTGAGCCTGGTTGGACGGCCCTCACTCTCGAAGCCCCTTGTTCCTCCTGTTACCATAACTCCGCCCGCTAACCAGACGCCAATGAAGGGATCTCCCCGGAGGAAAAAGGGGCCTGGACTCAGAAAGAGTATTTACTTTACTCCCAAGAAAGCAATCAAGCCTGGAAAGAGAAATGTCAGATGGAAAGATGACACGGCGGACGGTCCTCTAGCAGAATTCTCGAAAACTCCGCAAAAAGCTGCTCCTTCATCCCCACTGCCATCGTCGGGCTCACCCTCGTCCCTCCCGGTTCCGACCGTGGGCTCTTCTATTCCTCTACGGTCTGGCTCGAGGGAATCCTCTCCAATACCAACTCCACCATCTTTACCTAGTATGTATTCCAAAAACTCGAGATTCCAGGCTGGTTTTTTGTCTAAGAAAGCCAATGAGGGCTCACCCGGTCCATCACCCGCGCCTCCTAGCTTAGCCAGACTCTCTTTATCGGATACGGAACAACCCGCTCCTCTACGTCAGATCAGCAATAGCAGCACTCTGAATCGGAGGTCTCTCGATCATGAACCGGACAGCCACCCCCCTGACTCTGAAGCCGAACCTATCAAAATCGATAAGATGGATGCAGTTAAAATCGGCTCTGCGATGCGACGTATTTCCAATGCTGGTTCTGGATGCGGCGGATCTACCAATAGGCCTCGTCACCGTAGCCCAAGCGTCTCATCAAATAGCCCACCGAATGAAAATGCCATGTTCACTGCTTCCCAGGCCCGGAGAATGGTAAAAAGCGAAAAGGAGCAGGAAGGGAAATACGGTGTCTTGGGTCCCAGGACATTTCCGGTCACTAAACCAGGCAGCCAACGACGAGTTACATCCATCGACCTGAAAATCAGGGACGTGAGCAATTCAAGCAGAGACGGCGTCAGATTTAGCACACCTACCATAACTTCTGGTGGTCAGCCTCGACCGAGCTTGCAGGGGTCAGCAGCTAATGCATGTCGGTGATTTATCATTCTCATTTCTTCCCATCCCCCAATTTTTCCTTTATTCTATTTCTTACATAGTATTATACCAATTAAATTTCCGCGCAAGGGGGTGTTGTGAGTGAGTGTGTGGCTGGCGTTGTGTGGAAAATTAGTTTAGCATTGCCATTCGGTTGTCATTTCTCCTTTGTATTAACTTAGTTTTCTTGACAGAATGTACTTCCGTTTACGACGTTCTAATGATCAGGGTTGTCTACTTCTTCGATATTCCTTGAGTTTTATTGATAATCATCATTGTCAGCATCGAACAAGCCGTTCGCTTGGTTTCCTGGTAGCTATTTAATTGCTAGCTAGTTGGCCAACCTCATATCCAAAACACCACCAATGGCTCACGAAAAAGGTCATTTTCACTGTATCTCAAGATTATCTACCGGTCACACAGCATAATAGGCCAATGTATTATTCCTTCGTTTGATTACGCAGCTAGCAACTCCAGCTTAAAGTTGAGGGGGGGGGGGGGGTTTCTCGGAATACGGCGGCGAACTCGACAAATCGCGGATAAAGAGACGGAGTAGGTATCATGGCATGGTATATGAAGTAACATTGTAAAGATGTGCCAAGAAGAAGGATATCAATCAGCGGAAGTACAAGAGGAATGCCATGGTTGAGTTTCAGTCCATCAATGTCTGGTAAAAGAAAACATATTTTAACAATGAAACGGATAATGAAACGGATGTGAGGTCGGTTAATTTCGAGCTCGGGCGAAGGTATACAGGACGGTCTAACGTGGGAGGATGACAGCGGTCATTCTAGGCTAGCCCCTCGGAACCTTTTAGCAAGTTGTTCACCATCCGAGTTGGAGTTGTGAGAAGAGTTGTGGAATGAGGAAGAAATTGGGGATTGACGCTTAAAGGGCCATGATCGTTTTGGGGGCGTCTCACCGCTCTCCTGAAGTATTGTCACGAGCGTGGCCCAGCCAGCTGTATTGAGCAATTGTATGCCGTCGGCGGGATCATGCTTTGTTGCCACCGTGCAAAGAAGAGCCTCCTCATCCTGTTTCAAGTGAGAAAGAATACTGTCTTAGTTCGGGAAAACGCTGTAGTTATGGGGGGATGACTTATATTCTTACTCACCTCGCTGAGGATACCCATTCCATGCAAGAAGGTAAGGAGATGGAAATTGGAAACAGCTTTGATGACTGCATTGGGATCACTGCTGTCGGTCAATTTACTCGCAACACGTCTTAGATCTTGGCTTTCCCCAATGACCTCTCGGTTTTCAATTGGGAAAGACGGGTCCGTGAAGACTGTTGTTGGCGTGGTAGGGAATCCGTGTGTGAGAGTGACAAAGAGGTATTCAACCGGGAAACTCGGTTTGGCATTCTCCTGAACACTGACTTTGTATTCATTTATTCTTCGATAGAAAACCTCTGGAATATAGCGTGTGATGTTTGCGTTGTCAAGCTCGTCTTCTTGTTGAACCAGCATTACGGATGGGTCAGCGGATGGCTCGATTATGTCTGCCCGCACCATTTCAACAGCAGAGTTGGAAGCCTGGTAGGCGCACACAGAAATTGCACCGTTCTCATCTCCGCTCAGGACACAGGTAACAAAATTTGAGCCAAATTGGCCTGTTTCACTCCACTTGCATGGTTTGGGGTTCCGTGCCTGAAGCTGGGATGCAAAGACAACCTCTAATGAGGAAAGATAGTAAGAATCGATATGTCGTTTGCAGACGACAGTTCCATCTCCGGCACCAGCATCGATAAGATCAGTGAAAATCACGCCTATCTTTTCCATTCCACAGAGTTTGGCTATATGGTCAACGTCCTTTTCGTTATTCCATTCGTGAAGGGTTACGCCATCCACTTCGTCCACCTGTGGTGGTTCATATATAGCTTGTACCACAGCTTTTATACCAAGCGGGACTTCTGTGTATTCTTCATATGTTCCGTAAAGGAAGCCAATCCTCTGAGATCCTGTCTTTCGCCAGAAGTCTAGGAGTGAATTGATAAGGTCGGGAGAGGAAAACTCGACATGATCCACCATTCTAAATTGTTGGGGTTGTAAAGTGATGGCACTTGGCTGGCATTTAGTACATATACCTTCAGGCCAAGCTGGGTGCCCAGATGGACAATCCTTCCTCACTCTATAAAACGGCTCTGAAAGAGGGGGCATGTAGGAGCTCTTCAGCTCTGGCTTGTTGGTAGAGGAGTTAATTTTCCGAAGGTATGAGTTGAATGAAAGATGTTTTATCTTCTTTTCAGCCAGGTACTCTGGGGCATACGGTTCCAACGGCATGCAGTAGTCACACATTCCCTTGGGGCCATGCCGACACATCTTTTGATCAAAAGAGCGTGGGATTTTCCCATCTTTTTTGTCCAATCGGTTATCCAAATCCGACTGCTTCACGATTTCCCAGGGATTCTTTATTATGGCTGTGGGAGAGGTTGGCCGTTTTGTCGATGATGAATCATCCCGTTCAGGTACGGCACCGCCATCAAGACGGTGCGATGACTCTTGCCTTTTTGTAGCTCCTGTCTGTCCATTTAGGGAGCCGTTTGCTGTAGATTTTTGCTCCTCATAGCCAACGAACAGCTTGTCACCGTGTCTGCGTTTTTTCGGGTCAGTCATCATTGGGATCACCAGCTTTAAACCGAACAGCCACTCACGATAGCCCAACCCTCTGTATGGAAATCCCCTTTAATGTTGTAAGATTTCTCTCCTGGCCACCGGTGCCTATTGGTTTGTTCGAAAGAGAGACTGAAGTTGGATCGGTATCTTTAGGTAGGTTCTCAAGGATCTAGTAAATACGGCATGGCATTGTTAAAATCTTATTGCCTAAAAGAGCACCAAGGGTAAAACTGGGAGGCATGTAAAGCGATATAGACATACCTTTGGCAGTAGAGCCGTAAATTGTTCAGTCGGGCTAACCGTCAATCGAAACTGGCCGTTCCGGCTCTCAAATCTTAGAATTATTGGCCGCGGGGAAGCCATGTCTGGAGTGAGATGAGTTCAAACTGTATCATTTGCTGTACTAGGAGAGAACTATATAGCCACAGGAGCAAGTCGGAGAAAGTCTAGGGGGTTTTATGGTGAAAGTGAAGTGGTGAAAATGTCTCTTTGGCCGCGGACTTTTCTTTGGCCGTTGAAGTGTTTTTGATGCTGCTGGAAGAAGGCAGAAGCTCGAAGTTCGTCATAGCAGAAGCAGCGCTTAAAAGCGGCGTCACTCTGGGTGCTATTTTGGCCGATGAACTCAAAGAAAACCAGCGCCGCTTTAAAGGTTACTATCTGGCCTGTTTTCAAATTGGATACGAAGAATTCAAGATGCTTCCCCAATTTTCAGCCAGAGCCATTTTACTCTTGGATTATTATCATTATTATTATGATTATGCTCTCACTGGAGAAGATTATGCACTCACAGAGCTGAGGTTCGGCTCAGGCTGGATCCTATGACAGAACTACATATACCCGGATGCTTCGAACACTAGCACTCTCCTGAGACTATGTTTTCAGTGAACGGATTGGTTGAACTTGAAGAAAATTCATATGAATCATTAAGCACAAGCTAAGGGTAATGAGTATTGCATTTATTTCTCACTTTACGGGGAATACAAGCAAAAGTTCCCCCCGGCCCATAGATGACTGGAAGTGTCTATGCAAACTTGACCTTTGAGACGGTCTCGTAAAATCCCTTACCCTGTGTCTGAGCAAGCTCGAGCTCGAGAGGAGTGGGTTGACGAGAACCATCGGCTCCCTAGAAGGTTGATGAACGTTAGCAACTGTGGACGGATCATTGAAACAAAGAGCTTTCGATTGACCAAAAGATGTCAAAAGGGCGATGACATGACTTACAGCAAAGGTTCCAGCACCCCATGGGCTACCACCACGAACCTCGGAAACGTTTGACAGCATCTGGAAAGTGTTCTTGTAGCCCAATGGGACGAAGATCATTCCGTGATGGACGAGAGTGCTCATAGAGGCGATGACAGTCGATTCCTGGCCACCTCCAGGAGTACCGGTAGAGACGAACACGCCTGCGTACCTGCCAAAGAACTCGCCCTTGGCCCAGATGCCGCCGGTCTTGTCCCAGAATGCCTTCCACTGCGCAGGGAAGTTTCCATAACGGGTGGGGATGCCGAACAGGATAGCATCATACGCGAGCAGATCCCTGGGCTCAGCAACCGGGTGGTTTGACTTGGCTGGAGCATGCATTTTGGTCAGAACTTCTTCCGGAAGCGTCTCGGCAATTCTAGATTCATGAAGCGTTAGTACGTGGGGTTGTGACCAGGCCCCAAAGCAATGCGCAGATGCGATGGGGCGGAAAAGGGGGAGGAGGAGAGGGGCTAGTTTTACTGGTAGATGTCGGCGGTGCCTCCCGCAGCCTCGATTCCTTTCTTCTCGGCCTCGGCCAGCGTCTTGATGTGGCCGTACATCGAGTACTAGTCGGGAGGTCCTTGTTAGCACTGGAACTTGGGCGCATGCAAAATATTTTAATATCCGTGGAAGCGGGCTCCGGGAGACTGAGAGGGGAAACATACATAAACAATTGCGATCTTGGGGCAAGCCATGGTGTGCAGAAACCGACTGTATAAGTTCGAATGGGGAATTGAAGGGTCTCGACGAGGGCAGAGCAGAGAATGCGACAGCTGCTTTGGTGTTTTGGTGTGGTGGATGGCGATGCCGGGAGTCAGAAGCCTGTCGCTACGGCGGGGGAGGGGCAGCCCTTATATAGTCGGCCACACAAACCTGTTACGACCCTTAAGTTAACCTGCGCTGCTGCTAATAAATCACTATTAACAACAAACACGCCCGGAAGTCGCAGCAATGACGTACCGGCACAGCCAGCAGGTTCTCTCGGGCCCAGAACAGCTTACGGAAACCTTACAAAGGGAGGCAAAATAGCACCTTAGCTAGCTAGTTATGGGGCAGGGAGCTCCAGCGCTGCCAACTTACTCACGTCTTATTAACAGATTGGAAATCCATCACTGTGGCAGCCAACTACAGAGTACTAGTTAACTAGCTACCCCTTACTGAGTTGACTGGATCCCCCTGTGGCCTTGTGTCGCTGGTGCCCTCCCGGGACCTTATCCACCCACACTGCTTGATGCTGCCCGCAGCTCTCGAGAGCTAGCTGCCTCTCGCAGTCCCTAACTTACTTGCAGCCGATCCATTCACGAGTAAAAAGCAATTAAAAAAAAGGCATTGAAAATGATCGAATAATCATGACCAAGTCTTAGTAATCAGTTGGCCAGGTCATGTGATACTCCGGCTGAAACCTCCCCGTCGGGTCCCCCTGGATGCCCGGGAGGGACAAAAAAAGGGGGGAGCAGGTTTGTTCCCGTTCTCTTGTTGGGAGGAGTTGAGCTGCTCCCGCTAGAGTTACTCTCTGGCTGTTGGTCAATTGCACACATCCAGACAGAGTAACTTAGACAGCAGGCCATTGGACCTGTTGGACAGCTTGAAAGCTCGAACCCGCCATGGCGACGACTCCCCAGCCCCGGATGGCCCAGTTCTGCCGGTATATCAATTCCGCACCCGGCATAGAAAACACCCTACGGCTCTTGCAGTTCTCCTGCATCATCCTCGAGTCGTTTTCCCGGGCCTCTCCCTCGCCTTGGTCCAGGGCAAGTGGCCAGTTTGCGCTGAGTATGTACCAACATGTGCATAGATTCAACATGGGTGCACTCGGCGGGAGAGCAATTCACTTTTCGTTTTAACCATGGGTCTAGGTCGCCGCTATTTTCGGTTCTTCAAGTTTATCGACTACTTTGAGAATGCATGGGCAGCATATACTTTGAATGACAGTGCCCCGGCTCACCGGCGAGGGTCAATTGCATCAACCCTCGAGTTCAGCAAATGGAGTCTTCTCGGCGTATACCTCTTGCTAGAAGGCGTAACGATCGTATGTTGCACCTGAAAGCAGTAGTCTAAAACCAGCACATGGTTTCCATTCGTAGCTGACAGTCCCCATAGTTTGATGCGATGGGCGTTCAAAGAACGTCATGGGGTGATAGAGCTTTGCTTGAGAGTAACAAGTTCTGGTTATACGCCCTCGTTTTCTCACTCCTGAGCACCCTCTGGCAGTTGGTCCAGCTACGCCAGGCTCCAAGGGCACCATCAGCAATCCAGAAGAAGGAAAAGGGCCCCAATGCAAAGAATAATGCAGATGGCTTGGAAAAGGCACCATCCGTCGAGAAGCAGACAGTCAGCAGCGCTGAGTTTATCATCATCTACCAAGCTTTGGTCAAGGACCTTATCATTACTGTCTGCGACATCTGCATTCCTGGACACATTCTTGGTTGTATTCCGATATCTGCCTCAACGATGGGCAGTGCCGCGGTGCTGAGTACGCTACTTGTTGGACGAGACCGTTGGGTCGAGGCCCGGGGGGTTGCTGCTGGTAGTTAACTAGCAGCCAGGCCTTAGAGTTTTGCTGCTTTGAAATCCCTAGATGGAAGATACGTACATTAATGGCAACTAAACCGGGAATTCATTATATCCAGCCGTAATTCACTTGGAATTTATTACGAAGCACTGTAACCATCGCTCTGCCTAAGTTACGTCTCCTCTACTACAAAAGGATTTCCGTACCTGGCCAGCTAGCTAATACAGGTACTCAATAGTTTAGCTAGGGCCCGGAGTTTTGACTCCTACACAGTATGCGTATCCAGCCCAAAAGTTCTCCGTACAATCTGACTTGACCGTGGGGTTCCAAGCCAGGAACTGTTCTAAGGTAATGCCGAATGTCTTCGGGATCACAGTACAACTCTCACCGTTGGTGACAGTGTGCCACTTATTGCAAGCCGATGGTTGGCCCGTCATCGTCGGAGCGCCAGGAGATGGCTTAGAGGATGTCGTGGGTGTCGTGGGCGTAGCAGAGGTCGAAGTTGGATCATCGGATGTTGTGATAGAAGTGGTTGGCGTGGGCTCATCTGAGTCGTCACTTAATGCGTAGTACCGACCGCAATACCGGAAGCCTGGTTTGAAGGAACATTCTGGCCGACTAATATTACCTAGCCCTGCGTTCCAGCTCTCGAAAGACTCGGGGTCCACTCTGTAAACCTGGGGGGGAATTTGGCAGTTACTGTTCCAATAGGTAGTTGTGACATTATACTGAAACTCAGCGCCATCGAAATAGTAGTTGCAGTCATCCCGAGTGCCCTCGGCAATAGGTGGGCCTGGGGGCGGCCTAGGATACGGCTTTTCAGTCGCATCAGGTAGATCTTCAAATCGAATCCCAGTGGTTGTTGGCTCAGATCCAGTTGGGGTAGACACGTACCCGGGTTTTCCTGAATATGTATTAACTGCGATCGAGCATGGTCAGTTCAACTCTTTGGTGAAATTCCCAGGGCATCAAGAGAACATACTATCCCCAACTGGTAGAACACAATAGCTCTCCTCGGCGTAAAGATTAGTGCAGTTGCTATTCAGTGCTGGGTTCAGGAATATGAAATTATCCATGGTGATGCCAAACTTCAGCACAATAAGGTTACAATAGTCACCCTTTTTAACACCATACCAACGGCCACAATAACGGTTTGAACCTGAAGCAGCGTTACTAGGAGCTGGCACGGGTGTGGTCACAGTTGCACCCGGAAGGTCCGTTGCATCACCAGGTACGAACTTTTGACCCGGTGCAGAAATACATAACTCAGTGCCATTCAGCCTGTGCATGTTGTAGCAGCCTGCATTGATAATCTAGAATAGTCCATTAGCTAGATCCAGTCTGCCTAGAAGGACTCTGTGGTTAACTCACTGGGTTCCATGCACGTAGCTGTGGAACAGTTATATTGGCTGCTTTGGCGATTGAGCCGCAACTATCTTTTTGTTTGACCGTATGGGTATCGCAGGCATTAGAAATGCATAACTCGCCAGATTTAGGAAAATCTGCACAATACGAGGCCAGGTTATTATCAGAGAGAAGCCAAGCAGTTCCAATCTTTTTCTTGCGTGAAATGCTGTAGCAATCGTCACCTTGTTGGATTGAATACTTCTCTCCCATACAGGGAGCAGGCGTTGTTGTCGGTGGTGCCTCACTTAGAATGTTAATGTGAACTGTTGGTGAAGAGGTCAATATATCAAGTGTAGAATAGGTATTCTTACGTATAATACCCAATAGGAGTGGTAGTCAATGGTTGCCCAGATATTCCGCATTGACTGGTCATCGACATATAAACAGACATGCTGGCTAGGTCAGGACCATCAAAATATGGGGAACCAGCTTTTAGTTGAAGGCTTTTGATGAAGCACATGTCACAAGGATCTGGTGGAACGGTTCCTGGAGAAACCGAGCTGAGATAATTGAATCGAGAAACTGCACTTCGCGTGAGCTTTGACATCCAATTTTAATGAAACAGAAATATTTGAACCAAGCCATACCTCCAGGATCAGCAATTACCGCTGCCGTAGCTGCAACATTATTGCAGTATCTCCCGTTATCCTGAAGGCACGTTTTCTGAAAGAGGTCCTTGCGCATGCCTGGTACTATAAGAGCCGACGCCTCCAGGTCGAATGGACCGACAATAGTCTCGGTACCACAGGACGATTTGACACGATCCAAATAAGAGTCAAGGGCAGATTTGCAAGTGTCTGTGCATGCTCGCTGTAGAATTTCTGGAGAATAGTAGTATCCCGGCTTGAAGTCCAGGACATTTGGGTCACAGGCAACATCAGAAATTAAAGCCTCAGCACACTTGTCACTCAGTGTCATCGGAAGGCCTTCCCTAGAAACAACCGAGATGGCAGAGACGGTCTGGCAACAGATCGCATTAAGATAAATAAGGGAAAACACATATTTGAGAAGCAGCAATGTCCGCATAGCTGGGAATAGCACCGAGGACGGCATCCTGATAGTACTCTGTACGGACAGTCAAGTGGGGAGAAGGCGTTGATGGATTCATATTGAATGTTGTCCCGTGCGGAAGGCATGTTTATAAAGGGCGCCCCAGGTCAACCTGTCGAGTTTTGATAGCCCAGCCAGGAAAGCTTCCAATGCTAGTTATTTTCTTTTCTACCGGCGGTGATGCGCCGCCTGGAGCAACCTGACCCTGGGTAGTTAACTGTAAGTAAGTTTATGTCTCATAGTTTTGACTTCCGCCGCAGGCACAACCTTGTTTGCACAGACCCGCCGGACAGGGATTCTCACTCATTGGGTGGATTCACGCCGGGTTCCACGAGTAGCTAGTTAATGGACGCCGGTCCTCCCTAGACATTTGGTTGGGTCTTTGCGTAGGATTCCGGCGTCTCGTTAACATACCGCGGCGTAGTAATGTCTGATAGTTGCTTGATATCCACAGAATGTCCCGGATACCCTGTTATTACGTTTTCGTGCGTGGGAACATATGCTCCACACCCTGGCACACAGGAAAAAGACGATGTATACTCCGTGTCCTTAGACCTCCTTCGTACCTTGTCTTAATGGTTTATCCTCTCGGAAATATATTAGTTATCATGACTGGTGAACAGGGAAGAAGATTTGAGTACAGACCGGAGTAATGCTCCATGCGGTGTGTGATCAGCGGATAACTACAGCGAAGAGCCACAACGCATGTCTTGTGATATCTTTGCAGCCCGTTTCTCTGATGTTCCTGTTTGAGAAAAAAGTTAGGCCCAAATTCGTTTGCAAAAGCAGTAACTAACTCGGGATGCTCTTGTTTCAGTTAACTGTGCCATCTGCGACTAGTAGTATTATACAATGCCTTTCTCTTCTAAGGATGTATCACTAGTTATTTACCATTATTCGGGAAAATGACTGCGAGCGAGATAACTAGTTATTGGCAGGTAGGATGCGCAGGCTTTTTATCGCAGTACAGATGTGAGTAGCCAGCTCAGGAGCCGACGGGACTGTTATTCTGAAATAGTTAACATCATATCGGAAGCCTTTGGGCCCCTTAGGACAGCTGAAAGTACACTCATTCGCACAATATCCACAGGAACTTCCCAGTAGAATGGACGGCTGGGACATGCATATTCAAACAGCGTATGATATACCCCTGAAAAATGGATCTTGACTTACTCAATGTGGGTAGAAAACGGAAGGGCATTTCAACAACTTGTCCATGCAAACAGAACTATTCGAGTAATATAGTGGGAGCGTATCCCGTGCAGTGGGTGTGGGACTGGCATCTCAGCAGCTCACACTTGACAAGGGAGATCCAAGAGATTATGCGCCGGTCGAGTTCATGATCCCGTAAACCATGCGGCTTGGCAACAGTTTCGAGGCATATCAAAAAGATTTGATTGAACCGGCAGCTCCGATATTGCGGACATGGAGCCCAAGGCGACAAATATTTGAAGTTGCCAAAATAGGAATATCAACCTCAGTTGCTTGAGAGCTAGTGGAGCGGAGATATTGCAGTATTTTTCTCATGGGAAGCTATGGAGATACGGAAAAAATACTCCAGCAATCCCAGTTATTCTTGACTCAGTTTGGGAAAAAAAAAAAAGCACCCGGCACTTTTCCTTTTCATTTCACTTGCCGCAGCTTAGCCATCGATATATATAAGGCGTTAGCCCCTTGCTGAAAATGAAAGCAGGAAGTACTCCGTACAGCACTCCGTATCCTCTCTCATCCTTCTAGATAGTAACATTTTTCATCTTTTCTCCCCCAGTCTTGACAGTAGCCCAGCGGCTGCTCGTCCAAGATGCGCTCGTTAATCCTTCTCGCCGCTTACGCTGAACTAGCGACCTTAGCGTGGGCATTTCCCAACTCTCATGGTCATGCCAATCGCCATAGGCACCTACATCGTTCTTTGACCACTCAGAATAACGATGCCAACAGATGCCGTGATTTTGCTTCGTAAGAACTTGGAATCATATTTGCCAACAAGAAGGATAAAAAGCCTTGGTGATATTTTCTAACGTTGTGGAAATTCCCATAGGGTCTTTGATTATTCTGCCAAATCCCATGAAGATGACAATCTCCCCTTCTGTCCTGTGGAACAAGACAACGCCGAAGCGGCGAGTCTGAAAACAAGAAACGAGCTCCTAGTCTCCGTGGACTTCAACGCCGTTGAAGATTATTCATGCGGGCCTGGTCGCCCGTGTTCAAATGGTATGTTCCCTTGAATGCAAGTGAGAAATATATTTGATACTGACATGAAGATAGGAGCATGTTGTTCCAAGAAGACAGGGTACTGTAACTATGGTCCAGAAGCGTGTGGTACCAATAATGTAAGCCCCAATGAAGTATGCTGGTCCAACTGCGATGCCAAAGCCGAGTGTGGTAGATTTGCCGATCCGCCAGGTAAAAAATGTCCTTTGAATGTATGCTGCAGCGAGTATGGATTCTGCGGGTTCACCAAGGATTTTTGTGAGAAAAAGAGCGGGAAGAACAAGGGTTGTCAATCGAATTGTGACCAGCCTCGTCCTAGTGGAAAATCAGGAGAACAGAAGGTGGTCGTTGGCTATTATGAAGCGTGGAGACATAATGTCCTCTGTCAAGGAATGGTGAGTGTGCCACGCAGTGATGTTCTGACCCTGAACTAATGTTACTTGCTCCAGGGCTTAAAAGATATCCCGGTCAATTCACTCACCCATCTTTTCTTCTCATTTGGGTATATCACTCCTGGAGAGTTCAAAATCACAGGGATGGATGGTCTACCTTATAGGTTGTTCGCCGACTTTACAGCTTTAAAAAGGAAAAATCCAGGTTTGAAAACAGTCATCGCTCTCGGCGGCTGGACCTTCAATGATCCAGGTAGGTTCTGCTTTCATTACTTGCGCCAGGCCCAAGTTGAAGGGAAGTGGATAATATTTACTTCCAGTATCCTCCACACCCATAGCTATTGGAGTCCACCTCAGATATAGGTGACGAGCCGTTTAAGTTGCTGACAACGAGGAACAGGCCCATCACAGAAGGTGTATAGCGATATGGTAAGCTCCAAGGCGAACCGTTCCAAGTTCATCCAGAACCTCTTTGCGTTCATGAGACAATATGCCTTCGACGGTGTTGACTTTGACTGGGTATGTCACTAACCAGGCAATTTTCCTTTTATTGTCATTGAAATCCAAGACCTAAACTTTGATTAGGAGTATCCCGGCGCTGCTGATCGTGGTGGCATCCCGAGCGACGGGAAAAATTTTGTGAAACTCCTTAAAGAGCTGGATGAGGAGAACAAAAAACAGCCCTTCCATTACTCTGTATCTTTCACAGCTCCGAGCAGTTACTGGTACTTGCGGCACTTTGACCTTGAGGCCGTTAATCACGTTGATTTCGTAAACATGATGACTTATGAGTAAGACCAAGTCCAGCCTTATTTCCCGGCATACTTTAAACTGCTGTTGAGTGGACAAGACTAACCAAACTTGAAATTCAGTTTGCATGGTGTATGGGACAGTGACAACCCGATAGGAAGTCATATATATGGCCACTCGAATATCACAGAGATGACACAGGCTCTGGATCTTCTCTGGCGCAACAATGTTCCCGCAAACAAAGTCAATATGGGCCTCGGCTTCTATGGACGCAGTTTCCAGCTTCAGGATCCATCATGCGACAAGCCAGGGTGTCCTTTCAAAGGAGGGGCCGCAGCAGGTGCTTGTAGTGGCGCGTCTGGTATCCTTACTTACCGCGAGATAATGAGCATGGTCAAAAAGGAGAACCAAAGGAGGAGCTTGGCCAAGGAGGACGCAATTAAGCCGTTTCATGATAAGGAAGCTGGCGTCAAGTACGTCACCTTTGGCCATGATCAATGGGTATCCTTCGTAAGTTTCCTAGTATACCTGAGGGCCAACAGCAGTAGCGGTATCAATTCCGCGGAACAATATTATTAACCACCTTCTAGGACGACAAGGAAACGTTCAAACAAAAGAAAGAATTTGCGGCAGAACTTGGGTTGGGGGGTTATTTGATATGGGCGGTACGTCACGAAGTGGAAAGTAAGGAGAAAGGTGCTGATGATGATGATGCTAAAATTGAAATAAAAAATAGATTGATCAGGACGACGACCAGCGTAGCGCGCTTCAAGCCGTCCTTTCACCAAAAGCTCTGGATACGTTCAAGCATTCAGCCAAAGATGCATCGTATTATGAGGTCAGTTTTTATTTTTATTTTTTATTTTTGGGCGAACACATCCGGCGCTATCGGGTAATCACGTGATAAAACCTTCGCAGGCTATTTAGCCGCGCTTCTATCGGCTCTGTAGGTCTTGGCGTTATGCTAATGATTCAGTCTAGGACGCTCATATTCCGAGCTGCTACACGACAGGGTGCGATGGCAACTGTAAAGCAGGATTTATCAAAATTACAGATCAGAAGTGTGGCGAAGGTGATAAAAAGAGTAAGATCTGCTGTCCCTTATCCGGTGCTCCTGACCCTGCAGACTGTACCTGGCGTGGAACGGCACCATTCTGCAACGGCCACTGCCATGAAAATGAAGTCACCCTTCAGTTGAACAAATGGGGTGACGGGAAGGTATGTGTGGATGGTAACAAGGCATTCTGTTGCAAAAGCTCCCTTGCCAAGGACAACACATGCTACTGGCAGACTGATGATTGTCAACGTGGAGACAAGCCCTTGGTAAGGAGCCCTTAACCTAAACATTATAATACCTTCGTTATTTGGTCAATATGACTACTTTCCCGTTATAAGAGCTAATAAATGTTGCAGACATTTTCTGGCAAATGGCTGTCCTTCGACATAGAGATCGAGGAGAAGGTCAAGGAGGTGACGGGAAAGAATCAACCCATCGACCAGGTATCAGGGGATAAGTTGAAAGAGGTCCTAAAAGGACTTGACATATCGAATTTACGATTCTACTGCTGTCCCGAGAAAGAACTCGAGACTTGGAGAAATTGTGCCTGGCATGGCAAAAGAGATAGCTGCTTTGACAACCATTGTGACGTGCTTTCTGGTGTTCAACTCACCTCAGATAGCGGGGGGGTGGTGGCTCATGTGGCATTAGGTTGGAGCGGGAACGTGTTTTCTGCTGCGATCCCAAGGAAGGCGAACATCTATTCTTGCCAGTTCCACTAGAGAACCTTTTCGAACATCCTCCAACGGGTGACAATGTTAAAACCGACTTTGATCTTAATCTGGACGATGAGGACAGTAACCCAGGCTCTACTGCTTTTCAATTCGTTGTGATGACTTCCCCTGACGAGATCCAGACGTCCCTCGATAGGCGTGATGGTTCACACTGGGAGGTATTCGGCTGCAATGACGCTGTCACGGAGGGCGAGCACACTGTCCAGATGGTATGTACCGACTTTTCGGAAAATAGCAACTGCCACAAGATAAGCCTTGGTAAGGGAGTACCCGGAACGATTTTGCAAATGCCAAAAGGGTGTGGCCCTGGTAAGTACGCCGTTGCCATATCAATGGAACCTGCTAAACATCAGTTGATACCCCGTCATTTGGCGAGCCGTGTACCATCAAAGGGTGTTGTTTACGACTTAAAATTTGACTATGATTTCTCTCGAGTTCCTCGTGGCATGGGAAATACACAGATGCGAGTAGACTTCAGCAACCAGGATAACTACTGGGATGAAGTTGTGGCTGCATCGCCATCTAAGAAGAGGAAAAGGTCTCTCGATGACGTCGGAGGCGATCATTTGAAATGGCTGGAAGACGAATTTAGAGATGACTATCACTTTGGGGGGCTTAACAAACGGGACCTTCATGAGAGATGGTTTGGCTCTTCTGTCATCGAGTGGTTAAAAAAGATGGTCACTCCTGAAATCAAGCGTGACTACACTCACAGTATTGATGAGACTGTCACCGCAATAATAGTTGATGAAAACTGGGATTGCAAGAGGAATGGTATCAAGTACGATGGCCATGTCACTGCTAAAGCCCTCACTAACATGAAAATTTCCACGACCTTCGGCTTTACATTGATTGTTCCCAGCTTGCTCCCACCCCTTGACCTCACCAAATCATATCTCACTTTTTACAACAAAGGAGAAATCACCGCCACTCTCACCATTGATGCTATAGCTCGTTTCACGTATAGCAAACAAAAAACAATCCTGACTCTTCCTTTCCCCGGAGCAACGTTTCGTATTCCTGGGATAGTGACTATCGGGCCGCAAGTGCATATATCTGGGTCTATAGATGCCCAGGCTACCTTAGCCGCCAAATTTGAGACTAAGGTTGATATTGCAAAATGGGAGATCCGACAGACGCTCCCATCTGATGGCTCGGAGGAGTACAATCCACAGGATATTGCAAAAGGTCATCCAGACTTAAGCAAATCAGGAGATTTTACTGGCATCCAGAGGCCAGAGTTTTACGCGGGAGTTGAGGCAGCGGGAGATATTGTTGCTAAACTTAATGCTGCAGCAGGTAGGTTTAAAATTCTAACTGGACAAGTTCTCATATATCTGCCCTTTTGGAATAGTACTAACCTGAACCCAATTTTACTAGAATTTGGTGTAAGATTTGATGACGGCTGGGGCATTGGAGGTGCCACAGCCGGTGTCGTGGGTGAAGGTCGTGTCATGGTCAAGATAGCCACCGGCATTAGCACCACGGCTGAATGCCCGTTTACTTACGGCATGCAACTCGGCACTCATCTATATGCCAAAGCTGACGCGCGTATATTCAAGTGGCCTGAAACCAAGTACGAAATTGCCGGTAGGGATAAGGACATTATCAAGGGTGGAGAGTGTCCAAATCTCGGTATTGGATCAGTTGGCGGGGAGAGCTCGCCGCTCGACTCACGTTGGGCCACTGAGAATAATATTACCTCCCACCACATTTCCCGTGACCGTTCCTTGAGCGTCCGTGCCCATGAATTACAGAAACGCGCCGCTGTCTATGGGCCAGCCTTCAGGATTCCAGTTGGTGACCTTTTCTGCCCCACAAATGATGACAACCAGGATATTGGAGATCCAAAGCAGTGCTGGCGTATTATGCCAATTACCAGCAGTTATTCGTATGCCGCAAGCATGGATAGCTATACAGACATTTCTCGCAGGGATGGTAGACTGGAGAAACGTGCTTCTAAAGAATCTTATCTTTGCCATGAGAAATCCAAGATGATTCCTGATCTCTATATGAAGAGTAATTATCCCTCGTCTGGCAGTTTGCCGGTAAGTACATATGATCTCTTGTTTTTACTATACATTGTCTGTTTATGACCTTGTACTCACTAGTAAACTAATGATAACTGTGGATAGAACGCGCCTGCGTACGGTTTCACAACTACGGATTGTACAAACTTTGACTTTGGAGCCCCTCTACCGGCCCGTTATATGAATCCCAATAACGCAGCAGACAAGATTAAATACGAAACCGAGCACGTGCTTGAATTTCAACTCCCTGGCTTGTTTTTGATGAAGCTTAACGAAGATAAGGGTCAATTCGATCACCCCGACCCAAATCAAGTTGACGCAAACGGCCAGCGCAAAAAAATTAGCTTCTGTGAGTATGTCAGACTTCTATGGCCAGACCCGCTCACTATAAATCGTGCAAGAAAAAGTGCAGCCTCGCATATTGCAGACACATTTCCAACGATGCATATGTATAGCGCGGAATTAATCGTCCTAGAGGACAGAATCAACTTCCCATTCAAAGCAAAGGTGTGTCATTCCAAAGGGTGCTGTAGTACTAGGGTTTATTTGATGAGCCAGGCTTCTAAGACTCTGTTTGAATCACTTAGGCTTGGGGCAGTCCATCGGTTATTGCTTCCGAACCTGCGCTGAAGAAGGCGGTAATGGATAACCCTATAATGGCTATCAAAACTATACGTGCTATGATGGGCTCTGTTAAATATCATCAAAGCCAGCAAATCGCCAAAATCCTGAAGGATCAAAAGGAGCGCGTTGGAGCTATTCTCGGGGAGCTTGATAATGAACTGAGTAAGCGCCAACGGACTGTGACTTATACAACGACTCCGGTGTCTACAATAACGAGTCCGTCGACGGTAACCGTGACTACACATTCTCCGACGACAGTTACTGCGACCTACGACGCCTGGGAAACCCAGGGCCTTAAGTCTGAGTGGAAGACCTTCATGGACACGAAATTTGTCAGTGCTCACAGCAAAACAACACGGCCGATCGAAGACTATACCAAAATGTTAAAGGACATGTACCTTGACCCGCAGTATGTTCAGGGCGCCCAAGACAAGCAGGGTGATTCAAGCAAGGTAAAGGATGAGAAAAAGAAGCAAAGAACGATAATATCAAACGTCAGAGAACTTGATGCTGCCGTTTCGGCTCTCCCTACTTGGACGAACCCATTCTAGCCAGTAATATCAACTAGTTAACTCGTTAGCTTAAGCACGGCCAAAGAGCGATGTTAACGTGGCATCATTCTTGTTATCTTCTTATTTATCATCATCACTCTCAAATCGAACACCCACATTTAATCCTTCAAGTCTTGTTACTCCGTAATAGTACATTTAATGTCATAATATTTCAGCCACATAAGTCCATTAGGTACCCAAAGACTATCCGAGGGGACACTTTTCACGCCGCCAATTTGACTTTTACCACCTTCACTAACTACCCAAGTATATAGCCCCTACTCCACCCCTAGGGATATCGTGGCGGCGGCACCGGATTATTATTGCGAGAGAGGACTCTGAGAAGGCTTCTTCCGATCAATTATCGCTACTCCCGACCGGCGGATGAAAAGAAAAGCGCCCACTCGGCACGACACCCACCGTTATATGTAGGTCCTTGTCAGACTGATTCCTGTTGTAGGTTGTCAATTTCAGCCCTCAAAATGCCTGTACCTTTAATTCAATTCATTATTAGGCATCATATATAGGAGTTTGACTTCAGTTCAAGCCCACAAGCTATTCTAAATTTCATAGGAGCAATTCTACGCACTCCTGAGAGGAGTGTTGGGTCGTCATGGGCCCTTCTTCTCGGCCGCTGGCCGCTGGTAGTTAACGTCGGTCGCCCCACACGCGAAGTTGTGGTCCCACAGTTATGCGTTCCGTATGCGAGGTGTTGTTAGTTAGTTAGTTAGTTATTATTATTATTATTATTATTATTATTATTATTATTATTATTATTATTATTATTATTATTATTAGTTGGTTTAAAATTGACTGCCCGCCCACCCAGTCGTGCAGCGAAGTTTCTTTCTTTTGGACCCTCGAGTAAACGTCTCAGCCTAAATTTCCTTCTGCCCGACAAACAATCCCATAAACATCAAAATGTTAACAAAACTACCTCCTGAACTTATCTCGGGCATTCTCTCTAGGGTTGAGCATCGTCTTGATCTTAAATATTTGTCTGAAGTGTCCAAACGCCTCAACGAGCTCACAACCCCGTTTCTGTACGAATCTATCCTCATCACGACGGGCAGGAAAACGAACGGGATTGTAAAAGCGCATCAGAGGGCCGGAGTACTCCATTATACCAAGGATATTCAGGTTGCGAATGATGGATCTGATGAGTACTGGCTTGACCCAGAAAACCCGAGCCAGATGCTCACAAAGTATCCTTCCTCGGGGTGGGAAGCACTGCCGATACACGAGTACCCGGACTATTTCGAAGAGCTGAAAGCTTTAGAATATGAGAGCACCACTGGGCTCACCAGTACGGAGCTGGAAGACAAGAAAAGGTGGATTGACCCGGAACCCGAAGCACGGTTTTCCAAAGTCGTTCGTTACATGGAACTCAGACGGAGAGTCCTGTCCGTTCTAATCAGATGCCAGGAGGGTAAGCTGAGGAGCTTTAGGTGAACTATTAGCCACTACTACTCCTGAATAATCTCTTTTGCTTGATACTAACATGGCGTACCAGATGGGATCGTCGCAGCGTAATTCCCCTTGAAATACTAGGTGACGGTGGGTACCTGCCCACGAGACAGTTATCAATAGAGACCCTCGTTATACGTTCCCATGGGGCATATGGATGCCACATTTATGATACCCATCTATTTAAAAGGCTTAAAAGATTGACATGGGAAGACATGGGTCATAGCTTTCCACTTGTTACCGAATCGGAAGACATTCAGAGGCTCAGAGACTGCCTAGACTCTGTTTCTCATCAATTAGTTTATCTTAAGCTTGGGCTTAAATGGTGGGAGTATTCATTTCATAAGCCAGATGACGAGATGGCCACTATATCACAGGAGATTGTAAAGGCAAGCCCCGGTCCGGACGGTAAAAGGTTTCACTTTCAGAACCTTCAGCACCTATCCTTGCTTGGGTTTAATTTCGAACATGACGCAGTTGACATCGTTGGGGATCTGAACCCAGCAACCCTTAATACTTTAACAATAACTCTTTGTGGTTATGCATGGCCAAACTTCCTTGATCGACTCAATGCCTCGGAAACTCCATTTAATTTAACTACGGTAGAGATACTGTCTTGGGCAGATCCAGAATCAGCAAGCCACGAAAACGAAGACATAATAAGATTTGTCAACGGCTGTCAACCACTTCAAAACTTTTACGTTGCTGTGAGAGATCAAGACGGAGCACTAGAGCTATGGCAAGCATTATTACGACATCGAGATTCCCTTAAGGCGTTTGTTTACTATACGGATCCAAGTGTCGGTACCGATCCAGATCCCACCCCATTTTATGTAAACGACGTTTCGTTTTCAAAGCCCCACAACCTCGACATGGACACTGCATGGAATCCCTTGAGATACCTCAACCTAGAGTTTCTTGGGCTCAGCTATGATTTTGAGTACCTGGTACGCCTCATCCAGCCAATCCTCTTGACATTAGTAAACTATGCGCTGACTTCTCAACCGGTACCATAGATCCCGGTTCTAGCCCCAATCACAGGAAACAAGTATTTAAAGGTTCTACTTATCCGGAGAATCGACACCTGGGTTATTAATGGTCTGAAAGCAGTTGAAAATCCAAAAAGAAGAGAAAACTCGCAGGATGACGGGGATGATGCAGCGAATGAGGACAATTTTCTTAATTTTGATGAACTCGTTCGATGGGCGTTTGGACCGCAAGGATTCTCATCGTTACAAATGATTGGGGTCGGCGACTTCTCGGACAAGGTAAAGCCTTGTGAGAATGCGCTACTCTGTCGTAAATCCAATCCCGAGTGTGAAGAGGTGTTTCCTGGAAGGAATTATCGCTTTGTTACCAGAGATGATCGGATTCAGCAGGAGTTATTTCGGAAGTATGCCAGTGCGATGGTAGCTTGTCCCACGAAACACATCGAGGCTTGGTCGTGGTTGTGATTTTAATACCTTACCGAAGACGTTGGTGATAAATGGGCATGCTAGTTAGTTAACATGAAAATGGTTAAGGTTAGATTTTGTGGCTCACAACTTTAAGTTAATTGAGATAGTTAACTAACTACTAACTAGTTAGTTAGTTAGTTAACTAGTTAGTCACCGCCTAATCGGGGAGTTGCTCGTATCCGAGCCTCATTCACAGCCTCACACAGCCGCCTTCTGAATACGATGAATATCCCTGTTTTCTCTTTAGTCTCAATCGAGGGACTCTTGACCTGGGATATAAAATGGTGTAATGTGCCATGCTATCCGTCTGGGGTGTCTTCCCAACTCACCGAAAAACCAGCCGGTTGATGCACTGAACCCCCTTATTACTGCGGATATATCCTCTACATATACCATACAACGGAAAGACTTTAGCGCTTGTCATTATGACTGCTTATGCTATGGACTCGAGGAAGTCGGCAGAGCTTCAAACTGAAGTCAACCAACTATCCGAGAAGGAAGTGGAAATTCTCAAATCCTCCGCTGCGTCTGATACAGATGTGGAAGGCGAGGCACCACCTACATACTCAGAGTCCACAACGATCGCACTCCCCCGGAGTATAAATCAAGCTTTTACTCCTGGACGATCGCTCTATATTAACTCTCGCGGAATTGGCATGATTCGTTTCCCCACCCCGTCATCGGAGTTAGAGATCGCAATCCACAACCAAGATGGATCATTAGCCTATGTGTCAACCAGGGACAAGCTCTGCTCAGGAGATGCAGTTCTATCATCCCCAAAACTCGGCAATTTACTCAGTACCACCTACTTCTTTGGGCCTGGTCGCCATCCTGTCCTCCGTCAGCTATATCCAACACCATTTAATGGGGACAGTCCTGATACAAACAAAGACATCACTGTGGCTGGGAAGTTTATCTCTCGAAGTGCCGATTTTGAAATGCCAGATGGCTCAAAGTTTGAATGGAGATATGTTCGACTAGGCTATGATGGGGGTGGTAGAAGCAAGCTGCTAGTCCTTGAGAAGATTGAAGGTGAAGGAGATGGATCGCGCAAGAGAGTTGCGCAACTCCTTCGAACTAAGGAAACGATTCCGCAAGGGAGTTCAAAGCATAGAGCCGGGTGTGGTGGAGAGTTGGTCCTGGATCAGGATGCTCACCTCAACATTGACGAAGCTGTTATTGTTGGAACCTGCCTGTTGATGTTGAAAAGAGAGGTTGATCGCAGAAGAGCCATCCAAATGATGGTCATGACTGGTGTGGTTGCTAACTAGTATTGACGTGGGGTGGTTCTTTATTTCATTGTCTTTTTAATTCATTCGTTTCCTACTGAATAGCCACGATTGAACCTGAATTCTTGGTTGTAAGACTATCTCCTTGGTTACGATTGCTGTATATACTTCCCTTCGATATTGATTAAATTGAGTACCCGTTCTATTACCCAATCCTATCAGTTTCTGAGAATACTGAATGTGATTCATCATTTTAGCTACAGGTAGACAATCTTTGCAATAAGAGTGTGAGATGTATCAGAGCCCACAGCAGAGAAATGGTGCAAGATTAGGAGGAGTGTGTACGGATGAAAATAAAGATATTTAGTCGACAAGGGAGGCCACTCGTTTCTCATGGGCTGCCTTAAGTTTCTTTATAGCATCAGCAAAGAGCGCATTCGAAACATATACCGGCATAACCTGAACAAATATTTTCGCCATCCAGTGGGGGAAACAGCCTGAAACAAACGTTTCCCTATCTGAGCCAACCATTTTCAATGCAGAACGCGCAAGTGAGTTAGAATGGGGGACCATCATTCCATCCTTAACAATGTGAGTGGCGCTCCTAGTCTCGCCAATTATTAGGGCCTGGACATTAATATCTTTCCCCTCAATTTTCATTTCCATGCTTAATGAGTTAGAGAAAGAAGCAACAAATGCTTTGGTACCAGCATATACACTGATATAAGGGGATCCATGCGCCCCAACGGACCCCATGTTCAGGATTAGCGAAGGCAACCGTTTGTTACTTGCAGCCGTCATAGAGGTAGAGTGGTCCAATAATGGGATAAGGATGCGCGTGAGTTGTACCATAAACCGGAGATTAACGTTGAGTACAACGTCGATCTGCTCCCCAGTATATGACTCGTAGGCCTGATAAAGACAAGAAGGCGGTAGGCAACCCATCCCGCCAACATTGTTAATTAGAATCAAAATGTGGACGTCTTTCAGCACCTTATGTAGGCTAGATAGGGTAGACGAGTCCAGTAAATCTTTTGATGCATCACAGACGAATTTGCGGGTCTTGATGGTTGGGTACTGATTCTGTAGGTCATCGGTTATAGCCTGCAGTTTCTCGCTATTTCGACCGTGGAGGATGAGGTTAAAACCACTTTTTGCTAGCTCATAAGCCATGGAACGACCAACTCCATCGGTGGCTCCGGTAACAAACGCATATGTTTGTTTGCCATCATGGAGGTACTTGTGTAGTTTTGATGGACGCAGGAACTTGTATGCCACGGAAAGGAGATTCACGACGATACAGACGGTTGTCAAAATTCCTATACACGCAAATACTCTTTCCCACACCATCATTTCCAACTCTGAAGTTTTAGCAGATAATCCTTGAATAACTGGATGCTTTGCTAGTTGCAGAGGGGTTGAAGTCGAAAGAAGCTCTTTGGTAGGCCGATAACTAGTCTCTTAGTAACTTAGTTGTACTACTTAAAGTTCGTCAGCTAGTCAACTTAACTTGCCTGGTTAACATATCAGTCATGGCAGTTATACACCAATATTCTGACCTCATCATATGTGATTGTCGGTAATCAACGCTCTGCCTCCAAAACAATGGCCAAGCAGCTGGATACGCACCCTGTGCGTAGTATATGCTTTACTATTAGCCGCAGTTAGTGGAAACTCCCAGCCCCTGTCGTGATCACCCACGTGACCGTAATCTGACGTCACTAGGCGCGCGTTTATTAGTTAGACGCGTTTCATAGTTAGCCGATCAAACTTGGAGAACGCGTTTGTCAACAAACATTCAACGTTGATAACTTGGTCAGCCTTTTCGGTCAAGCGCCCCAAGGAGTTTTTATTTCGAGAGCGCAGCATGGCTCGATCAATACGGAAGACTCAGAATGAGCTTACAGTATCCACCGGTGGGAGTTCGGACTGGCGGTCCCTGGACAATGAGTTGACTGAAACGGGGCTGGACGCAGACGAGAGCAGTGCATCTACAGGACAGAAAATCGCGGATGGCTTTGAAAAGGATTATGCAATTGGTATCTCATCCTTACTTACGCCAGTACGACCCAAACCCTTTCGCAGCCTACCCAATGATATTCCAAAAAAACGAACAAAAGATTTTATATCCAACTCGCGGTCCGAAGGGCATTCAACCACTGCTCACCATATCAAGCACAATGTTAACACTAAGGACTCCGAAGGCCCCAAAGCGGCGCTTATCCAAGACACTTTGTCACGCGGCCTGGCTGACAAGAAACCCTATCCTCTTTATCCATCACAACCCACTTCGGATCTTAACATAACTGCTGAATTACGAAAACTCTGGGATAAACCTACTTTAAAACCACATCCATTTCCCCGATTACCTGACAGTTCAATAAAACCCAACATTAAAGAGCCACCAAGTCTCAATGATCGAGCCCGATTCCATAATACAACGAAGACCAACAAGACTATTCCAAATCCCTCATCAGGACGGAGTGGTTCTAGTAGATTCGGCGCAAGGATAAAACATATCGATGGAACGAGTGATACCCCAAGAGCAGGTAGACGACGCTTTCATCCCAATTCTCCTTCATCGCCTATACACTCTGACATGCTGTATGATGATGGGACGAGCTCCATCATACATACTTCAACGGGCATTTGCCCACCTATAGCTTACGGCTCAAGAAGGGTAGTAGCATCTACTCCAGGCCTTCCATTACCACATTCCCGCACCGAAGGCCACAGTAGTGATGGAATACACTGCCCAAGGCCTTCATCTCAATCTTGCAATGTACCTGATACATTCTGGAATGGTTGGGATCACTGCTACAATAGCTCAAAGATTGCGTATCCGGCACCAGTTCAGCTTTTTGAGAGTGATACTACTACTTCAAAGTTTGCGGACAGTAGGCCATCTAAGCAGGGCCTGGGGTCAATACCCAGGCCGAGGGCTCCTTTACGGGATCTTTCTAGTAATGGGTTGAAGATAAGGGACACTCTTGGGAAAGAAGCTCAGACACGCCGTGCTAGCCTTGCTAGCTCACAGAAGGAAAATCTCCGCCCACGAAAACGGTCCAGAGACACCCGGCAAAATAGTCCTATAGGCGGAGGAGAAGATTTTACTAGAGAGGTTTCTGAAATCTTTACAAATTTTGCTGATACTCTTACTGGAAATCGTAAGGTCCCCAGCAGCCCGGCTTCCGATAGCAACACAGGTCACCTTGGAAAGCAAGCAACACGATTCCATCGAAATAAATCGAATGGCAACCATGACTTTTTGTCCTCAACCGACGTCTCTTCAAATTTAGATTCGAAGCATTATGACGAAACTGGAACTGTGGTGCGCAATCCTGAAACGAGCCTCTTGCCATTTGGTGCGCCTGATACCACTGCAGATACCTATGCTGGTGATAAACTGCGACGCTCCTTACCACGAACTGCTCGGTTCTCTCGATCTCGCTACTCTACCGCTTCAATCACTGACTTTCATCCCGCAGGCGTGGACTTAACATTGACTGTTTCTACAGATATTTCGTCTACTCCGTTTGGCCAAGGAGCCACCGTAGATAACACTCATCATAGGGAACCTGATAAGCCGCTCGACATGTTATCTGACCTTCAGTCACGTCTACAACGTTTAGAGATCGAAAGGGAAAGTCTGAACCAGAGTATCCGACAACTAAACCGTGAGAATCTTGCACTGTCTGCTAGAGTTCAAGTTTTGGAAGCAGCCAAATCCACTGGGGGAGTAGGACGAGAGGAATTAAACAACGAAGATCTCAGCATGCATATCCTCTTGCAACCCGTTGGAAAGGGCAAAAGGTCTCCAGAAACGCAAGCACAAATGCCAACCAGTGGTGTTACAGGTCTATGTGGCCAGGAAGCCACAGATGAGAAGACCTGTCGTTTCCAGGACGAAACTGACGTCCTGGAAGCTACAGACCTGTCTACAAGGACGGCAAACGCAGGGGAGTCGGTCGATCCTATCTGTGGTTCGTTAGGTGAAGCACACGTGGACTACACCATATTAACCCTAGTCGATGTATGTCTGTTTGCTATCTCCATTCCATAAGAATTCAATTGCTAATCCATTTGACAGGATCATGAAGTAGAAGAGCTGAGAAGAAGCTTGGAAGCATCACGGATAGACCGGACAGCCGGCAAAATCCATCACATATCCAGCGCTAAGCACGACATCTCCATGCCTCCCCTATCTCAAGTTCTTGCGAATATCGGTGTTGGAGTAGAAAAGGAAGAATATCATTCTTCTGCTAGCGAGGAAGACATGTGCACATTACCTCCGATTAAAAAATGGGTGCGGCGTGGATTACAGAAAGATGTCTAATGTCTACGGTTGTTCACCATTTGAAGACCCTGACGAAACCATTTTCAGGGCCTCTCTCTTTTCAAAGTAGAATGGCCTATCCAGTAGGATAGTATACGTGGGTCCAGTATATAGCTTGCTTGCATTTGCAACCTCCCCTGCACGATATGCAACGCCTAAGGCGACGTCGTACTCCTTAAATTCTGAATAAGTACATAATTGCCTGGGCCGAGGAACATTTGCCTATGAAGGCGTTTGGACACAGCCATTGTATCTGGGGCGAGAATCATTTTGACTGGGACTGCAGGACTGTATGTTGGACTTTTACCGATGGAGCCTGCTTGTGAGCCTGCCTGTGGCCATGTTTAGTAATCAGCAGTACCTTGAAGGTTACCGTACTCCTGGTCAGTAGGTCATTTTTGAGCTCCGTATAGGCTCATGCCATTATTGCCCCATGATAGTTCTGTTTCAGCCGGGCGATTGAAAATAGCTCCCAAGGTTGTATGGCATACCATTATACAGGATTCTTCTTGCTGCTTCCTGTTTGGTCAATGGTCACGTTAAAGCTAGACAACTAAGGAAGATATGACAAGCTAGAACACATCATCGCTGTTCTTTGAGATGGTTTCCATTCCCTGTGCCCGTCGTTTGGCAGGCAATGAAGACGGCGTAGAAAGCTTTGCCGGTATTTTCTGTGCTGGAGGTGTTCCTCTCGACGCCGGTGCTGCGACTGATTTGTCCCTTACGGGTATCTCCTCACTGACAAAACAAGCAAGGCCTGCAAAGGCCTCTAGGAGCGTCCTTTCATAATATTCTCGTAAATCATAGCCACCAGCCAAAACCCTCGTATCCTCACGTAGCGGGTCAAGATATGTTGACGGATAGTGATCACGGAGTTCATAATAGTCACGGCTGTTTAGTGCTGCAGCACCGGCAAACGGATCATACGGCTTCTCAGGTTCAGGAGTCTTGATCTTCCTTAGGCCCTTAATCAACCCTCCACCGGCGGCTGCAGCATTGCCTGCCCCGGCAGCCAATGGGCCTTTGTTCGCGCTCTCTGCAGCTCGTAAGGCAGCTTGCTTCCGCTTCAACCTCTCTTCCTCGCTGCGTCTGGCGGAAGATTTCTTCAGCTGATGGGCTCGTTCAGACTCACGGGCAACTGCTTTGGCCTCCTCAGCATCTCCAGATGCGAGGCGGGAGATTATATCCTCGCGACTGGCAATTTTGGCCTTCCTCTCGTTCTCGTAGTCCAGCCTGGCAGCTTCACGTCGCCGACGAAGCTCCTCCTGCTCCGCGGACTGATGAAACTCAAAAGACTCATTCTCCTTTCTGGCAAGGTCCTTGTTATGACGAATAGAGGCAGAGTTTTCTGCGGAGTACTGGGCGAGTTGGGCTTCCGTTTTGGCAACGTCGATGTCATTTACGAGATTGGCTATAATCTCCTCTCGTTGTTCAAGAAAGTCATCCCATGCACGTTTATTGTCGAATTCTTCTTCTCGTCGGTTCAAACTGCGAAGGTGTCAGCGGTTACCAAGGTTGGCTGGAGACTTCCTGGGGTGACACACATGCCCATTACCCGTTTTCTGATATCGACTTCCCTCTCAACCGCAAGGTCCCCAAAGGTTTGCTTCCGGAATTTATTTTTCCGTAGGGTTTTTCGGCAGCCGGCAACTGGGCAAGGAGCAGGGCCTGAAGAGAATATGCGGTCGACACATGACTCGCACATTTTATGGTAGCATTCTGGGTTGATGAGAAATCGCATGTCCGGATTGAGGTATCTGGATGACTTGCAGACGGGACATACTTCTATATCAGATATCCGTGCAGGTATTAGCTACCTGAGATGTGGTGATCGGAGCTGCACAAGGTATACGTACCGTCATCGTCTCCCCTCTGGAGGGAGCCGTTTGCTCGGGCTGGCATTGTAGTTGACGTGGCGCGCAAGCAAGAACGCAGGGCCCTTCAGGAGACAGATGGGCAGGTAGCAGGGCCTGGTAGCATCGAGGAGTGCGCTGACTGCAGCGCCCGAGCAGCACAGAGGAGAGAGCTGGCGTCGCTTGCTTCAGGTTTCCAGGGAGGAGCTCGTAACTAACTAAAAAGCCTCTAATCACGTGATAGTGACATGGGAACCCCTCGGGACTTTTACTGGCCCGAGCTCCCCGGCGATGCTTGTTTGACTATCAGATCTTCGACTTCATCCTCGCGGGCGTTGGCATCAGGGCAGGCCATGGGAGCCTTTGCATCCGCCCACGTTCGACGGTGCTCAACCGCTGCTGTCAAGCGCTCCGACTGCGATGCCGCGGCGGCCCGGTGGCATCTCCCGCGCAGCTGCCTCGCCCTGCTGCGGGCGGCGTATCGCGTCTGCCAAACCTCAAACATCCCTCCGTGCTGGTCTCGGGTCCAGCCATCATCCACCCGCCAAGCTCAGGCAATGGAGTCGGGTTTTCCCACAAGGTTGCGCTTGGCTCGTGAACAAATGGCGAACGAGACATTTCGAACAGAGAGAGGGAGAGAGAGCTTTGAGCGTGATCAAAGGGCGCCCATTATTTTCTTGCTTCTGCGCCTTCCGTGGATCTTGCCTCGGGACGAAAACGATGTTCCCATCAAAGGCAGCGTCCTCGACGACAAAACACAAGGAATGGAGTACCCCACGCCAATATGCAGCCCTCTGCATACACACTCTACGGGGTGG